TCAAGTTGGGCCGTTTCCTGCACAAATCCAGGTTCTCTCACCCCCTCACCCCCCTCCCAAAAACCACACACACAAACTCACTATCCTGCTGGTAATGAGCTATTTGGATGAGCTATTACCAGCAGGAGAGTGAGTTTGTGTGTGTATGGGGGTGGGGGGGTGAGAAAACCTGGATTTGTGCTGGAAATGGCCCACCTTGATTATCATGCACATTGTAGGGAGAGTGGTCACTTTGGATGAGCTATTACCAGCAGGATAGTGAGTTTGTGTGTGTGGTTTTTGGGAAGGGGGTGAGAGAACCTGGATTTGTGCAGGAAATGGCCCAACTTGATTATCATGCACATTGTGTAGAGAGTTGTCACTTTGGATGGGCTATCACCAGCAGGAGAGTGAATTTGTGTGGGGGGGTGGAGGGTGAGAAAACCTGGATTTATGCTGGAAATGGCCCAACTTGATGATCACTTTAGATAAGCTATTACCAGCAGGACAGTGGGGTGGGAGGAGGTACTGTTTCATATTCTCTGTGTGTATATAAAGTCTGCTGCAGTTTCCACGGTATGCATCCGATGAAGTGAGCTGTAGCTCACGAAAGCTCATGCTCAAATAAATTGGTTAGTCTCTAAGGTGCCACAAGTACTCCTTTTCTTTAATCTTGAATTGGTTCTCTCTATGTCCCACAGCAATCTGCCCTCCAGGAAATCATCATGTTCCCCACAGTTCTTGTTGTGGTTCTGCAAGGATCGTGCATCCTGTGCTTGCAGTGCTCATGACACCAGTGCAGCAGAGCTGTGCGGGCTCCATGCTTTGGTTAGAGATGGTGGACAGTGAAACTTCCTGTGCTGGTTTGTGGGATTTTCAAAACAGGTGCAAAAATTATGGGATGGAGATGGTATTACGGGCTGGAGAAAATTGCATGATGGGAACTGGACCCTGCATTCCCAGTCACCACTGCACTATTCATTTCTGCCCTGCCATGTGTTGCCAAAGCAGTGTTCTGGCGGTGGCAAGTTGCACACTGAGATACCACTACACTTTACATCGCACTCCTGGTGAGTATGTGCACCACTGACACAAAGAAGCAAGTACGCATGAGCATAAGCAATATACTAACTGCTACAGCTTTAGGCTGACGTAACTTGTTTACAAAAGTTTGTAATGTAGACATGCCCCTACTCACAGGTTAACTTTACCTAGGTGAGTAGTCTCATCGAAGATGAAGCAAATAGGTCCTCTAACAACCTGTGTTCACCATCTCCTGCTCTATGTAACAGTGTTGGATGGGATATAACTAGCAGAGGAAACCTCTAGATCCCACATTTGTCCAATCCCAATACGGCCTGTTTGCCCTGAAGTTTCTGAGAATATGGCTACATTGCAGCTGCTACAGTGGCACAGCTATGGTGATGCAGCTGTGCCACTGTAGCACCATACTGTAGACACTTCCTACATCAACAGAAGGGGTTTTCTGTGGATTTAATTAATCCGTCTCTCTTAGGCCTGGTTATATGAGGAAATTAGGTTGGTATGTCACTTGGGGTGTGAAAAATCTATACTCCTGAGTGACACAGTTAAACCAACCTAATCCCTGGTGTAGACAGCGCTAGGTTGACGGGAGAATTCTCCTGTCAATCTAGCTACCACCTTTCGGGGAGTGAAGTACCCACCCCAATGGAAGAACCCCTCCCGTTAGTGTAGGTAGTATCTTCCCTGAAGCTCTAACACAGTGTAGCTGCAGCAGTGCACTGTAGGGATTTATGTATAGACAAGACCTGAGAAGCAGTAGCTTGGTTGACAGAAAAATTCTTCCATTGACCTAGCAGAGTCTACACCAAGGGCTAGGTCAACCTAATTACAATGCTCAGAGTGCGGAATTTGTCACAGCCCTGAGTGACATAGCTAGGTTGATCTAATTGTTAAGTGTAGCTGAGGTCTAAGTAATAGTCATATCTTCCATTCAGGTCCACCTAGGCAGGCTTCAGCACTGTTCAATAGTGGGTATAATGTCACCACCAGAAGTAATGGTGGGCTGTCACACAAACTTTCTAGAAAGGCAAGTTAGAGCATATGTGCCACGGGTCCAAAAGGCTGGCATTAGGAATAATCTTAGAAAGGGGGACACTGTATTATGTACAGTACTTTGGAAAAGTCTGTCATTCTAATTTGCTGTTGCTGTCTACAGCCCTTATAAACAGGTAATAGGTAGATCATACAGCCTGTTTCCCCCTGAATTTATCTATGGTCAAAGGACACCATGTTTTCTACAAAAGCAAATAAATTTGTATTAACCACAAAGCCAAACCAAGGCATTTTGATTATCAACAGTACCTAGAGGCTCTGACCAAGACCAGGGCCCCATTGTGGTAGGCACTGTAAGAGATAGCAAGTGACAGTCCCTCCTCCCAAGGAGCTTACCAGCCTAAAGACTGGCAAAGTGTTGGAGAAAGGAAATGTTATTAGCCCTATTTACAGATGGTGCATAGAGCTTAAGTGACATGGGAAATTTGCGACAGCCAGGAATTAAACACAGGTCTAGTGCTTTAACCACAAGAGCATTCTTGACTATACAAGAATGGTCCAGTCCACACAAGAGATCCTCTTCCTGAACACTACAGTGCTAATAAACAATGGTCACATAAACACCACCCTATACCAGAAACCTACTGACCGCTATTCCTACCTACATGCCTCCAGCTTTCACCCTGACCACACCACACGATCCATTGTCTACAGCCAAGCTCTGCGATACAACTGCATTTGCTCCAACCCCTCAGACAGAGACAAACACCTACAAGATCTCTATCAAGCATTCTTACAACTACAATACCCACCTGTGAAGTGAAGGAACAGATTGATAGAGCCAGAAGAGTTCCCAGAAGTCACCTACTACAGGACAGGCCTAACAAAGAAAATAACAGAACGCCACTAGCCGTCACCTTCAGCCCCCAACTAAAACCCCTCCAACGCATTATTAAGGATCTACAACCTATCCTGAAGGATGACCCAACACTCTCACAAATCTTGGGAGACAGGCCAGTCCTTGCCTACAGACAGCCCCCCAACCTGAAGCGAATACTCACCAGCAACCACATACCACAGAACAGAACCACTAACCCAGGAACCAATCCTTGCAACAAAGCCCGTTGCCAACTGTACCCACATATCTATTCAGGGAACACCATCACAGGGCCTAATAACATCAGCCACACTATCAGAGGCTCGTTCACCTACACATCTACCAATGTGATATATGCCATCATGTGCCAGCAATGCCCCTCTGCCATGTACATTGGTCAAACTGGACAGTCTCTATGTAAAAGAATAAATGGACACAAATCAGATGTCAAGAATTATAACATTCATAAACCAGTTGGAGAACACTTCAATCTCTCTGGTCACACGATTACAGACATGAAAGTTGTGATATTACAACAGAAAACTTCAAAACCAGGCTCCAGGGAGAGACTGTTGAATTGGAATTCATTTGCAAATTGGATACAATTAACTTAGGCTTGAATAGAGACTGGTAGTGGCTAAGCCATTATGCAAGATAACCTATTTCCCCTTGTTTTTTCCAACCCCCCCCCCCCGTTCTTGTTAAACCCTGGATTTGTGCTGGAAATGGCTCACCTTGGTTATCATACACATTGTAAGGAGAGTGATCACTTTAGATAAGCTATTACCAGCAGGAGAGTGGGGTGCGGGGAGAGAAAACCTTTTGTAGTGGTAAACACCCATTTTTGCATGGTTTGTATGTATAAGAACATCTTCTGTATTTTCCACAGTATGCATCCGATGAAGTGAGCTGTAGCTCATGAAAGCTTATGCTCAAATAAATTGGTTAGTCTCTAAGGTGCCAGAAGTACTCCTTTTCTTTTTGCGAATACAGACTAACACGGCTGTTACTCTGAAACTTGACTATACATTGTATCCCGTTATCTAAAAGTCTCTCCACTACCTGTAACAATCCAAATTAATATCAAAAATAGCTAAACAGTGTAAGCTTTTAAATTTTGTAAATTTCCAATCTCGCCATGGCTCACATACACACACATTGTGTGTGTGTGTGTGTGTGTGTGTGTCAAAGGCACATTGAGATTGCACCAAAATTTTTGGCGGAAACCTGCATCCACCCTGTCCCTAGCTGAGACTTTTTTAGTCTGTGGTTTAGGTTTTGTTTACTTTTTAAGAGAAAAAAATGTGTTATACAATATTTATAGCCTATGATTATTACACTCAAACTCCAATGCCACCAGTTTTTCAATACTCACATTTTAAATACTTTAAGAAGTTCTGTTACTCTCCTGGACTGTTTAACCACATGGATGCAATGTTGCTTTCCTTACAAAGGGAGAGAAGAACACAGACTTGCCCCACGTCCCCGTTAATTTGAAGGCAGTGTTTAACATCTCTCTCTCAAGAATTTTGGTGTTGTAATGAGAAAAGGGGGTTACAGGTCCCTGAACGGTCAGGGGAGGGCTCCTAGCATGCGTTTAGGTCGGCTGAAGGCAGACCGCAAGACCCTGAGAAAGAACAGGTCGGAGCTCCCAACCCCGAAGGCTTGTTGGAAGCTCAGGTGTAACGATGTCCCCTGGTGTGTGGGGGTCCTGATCCTCACTGGTTTTTGGGGGGGTGAAGCTCCTCCTAGTCCCTGGTGTGTGGGGGTCCTGATCCTCACTGGTCTTGGGGGGTGAAGCTCCTCCTGGTCCCTGGTATGTGGGAGTCCGGACCTTGACTGTATTGTTTGGGGGGAGCTCCTGGCTCTTGCTGTGCGAGGGTCCGGACCCTGACCGGTGTTTGGGGGGGGGGAGCGCCTGGCCCCCGCTGTGTGAGTGTGCGGGGCGCCTCTCTCTGACTGGTGTGGGGGAGCCGCGGGCTGCGGGCCACCGGCACCAGAGGCCTCCCGCCATGCACAGCCGACCTCACCTCAGCACCTACCCCCCCGTTTCCGCCCCTCTCCGCCGGCCAATCGCCTGGGTGCAGGTTGGCAGGCGGTTGCCATGGTTACCGTGTAAACACGCTCCCTCTGGGCTATGCGGAGGAGCGCGCTGGGCCGCTTGGGACCGGAGCTGAATTGAGAGCCGCCCCCTCCCGCCAACACCATGTCCTCCTCCACCCGGGCCGGCAAGGGCAAGAAGCATAGCGTCGTCGTCAGCGTGTGAGTGCCCCGCCGCAGCGGGCTCAAGAGGACACGGGGCGGGCTGGGGGCCTGCCCTCTCCACAAGCCCTGGCTGCTCAGGCAGCGCTCGGGCTAGCGGTTGTCTCTGCTAATCCTGCCAGGCTAGGCTCCATCCCAGTGCTTTCCATCTGCACTGAGCATGTGGGGTTTTGTTGGTTACTCTTGGTTACCATCGCCTTAGTTTACAAGATCTCTCTCCTATCTGATCGATGTGGCACGTTTCAAGTGCACCCATCCCTGGAGTCCCTAGCTACCAGTAAGCTTTCTTTGCACTTAGCATCTTCCACACAAGGATCCCAGGGCATTTTAGAGCAATGAATGGACTACGCCTCACTGTTGCCTTGTGAAGGAGGGAAATGGTAGTATCCTAACTTTACAGATAGAGAAACAAAAGCACAGAGATATGATTCACCAAACTCCAGCAGAAAATCTTTGATGGAGTTGAGAACTGTACCTATGTGGTCTGAATCCCAGTCCTACATTTTAATCCAAAGACAGTGCTTCTTGGTCCTTCATTTCCATACCAGTTGCCTTTCACCACACTCAGTCCCATAAATAGACTAGCATTTCTTCTGTTATTTTACAGTTAACATTTGCTTCTGTTTGTGAAGTTGATATTTTGTAGTGAGCTTTATACTGTTCATTATCTGCTAAATAGTCTATATAAATTTCTTAATCATGTTTTGTTTGGGTTGAAATAGGACATCAAAGCTGGAGTTAAATATGAAGAGGGCATCTATTTCAGGAACTAGCAACCAAAAACAAATGAGCTATGTTAGTGGTTTCAGCCCAAGCAGAGTTGGATCACTGAGTCGAAGAAGCATACTGATAGCTTCTGATGGCAAAACTATGGATAAGGGGTCTCTCATAGGGAGTAAGCATACCATTCAGGTAATGAATTTTGCAATATCAAATATTTCTAATTATGTTTGATTGTTAATCTTAAAAGTTGTCTGGAAAAAGGTTTGGGTGGAGTGCAAGGGGAAAAGAAGGCAGTGTGACAGGGTAACTCTGACTCTGAATGTGACAAGGGTAAGCTTTCTAGGAAAAGGGGAAGCCAGTGCAGATATTCCAGAAAGTGAGAAAACCATCTGGAAAGGATGATGATCAATGTTTAAAAAGTGACCCTCAAAGGAACAAAGTATCTGTGCCCTTTTTGCTTCTTTATGATATACTGAGGAAGGCTGAAATTTCACCCCTCCTTTCTTTTCTAACTTACAAATAGAGTTTCTGCCTTGTCTTCCCTGTTTTTTTCTAGGTGACTCTTTGGAGGGTTTCTTGGAAGTCCAGAGAACTAGTGTAAGAGATTCCCTTGCTCTTAAGGATCAGGGTTGTTTAATCTTTTACAAAAGATCTTTTATCCCCAAAGGACATCAGTCATATGTGTTAATCACTATTTAAAAAAAATAATTTAAAATGAATTTCTTTCGCAGGTTCACAGGTTTCACTCTCTTGGCCCTGGGTACTTTTTATGTCATAAGATACCTAGTTCTCCTTGCACATGGAATCTTGGGGAAAAACAGGGTAGATGACACCGCCATTTTTGCTAAAATACAAGCAGGATTTCCCCCCCTTAATCTTAGGCATTCATCCATCATAAAGAAAAAGGGAAATATTTCTTCTGCCACCTCTTATATAGCAAATATTTGCTACATCCAGCATATCTATACTTGCTTGCCTTGATTTGGTTGTAGGCTGTATACAAACAGCTACATGCTCAAGGAAAGCTTGATTCCAGATAAAATAGATGAATGATAACTTTTATAAATTCAGTATGTTGTATTTATATCCAACTAAGGTTTTGCATGCAAACCGGGAAAAATTGTGAATCTAGGCTAAAGCATATTACATACATGCATTTCTCTGTTAGTGCAGGGGTCTTACATAGGCCCGATCCATTTCATTACCCCTGAATGTGTGATTAAGGCTGTGCATAGGACACTGTGCACTGGAATGACTTTTACCCTTAGAGAATGTCAGGTTCCAGTTGTGTTAATATGCCATCTTTCACAAACATTTAAGAATTGTTCTCCTACTTAAACAAACAAAAAGTGGAGAAAACATTCTTTTGAGAGAACTTTTTTTTTTTTATTTTGTAATAATAATGCTTTGAATTACTATAGAGCTTTTATTCAGTATTGTCAAGGCACTTTACAAATTGTAATTGCCTCACAGCTCTCAACGTGGGGAGGTATTATCTCCATTTTATAAATGGGATACTAGGGTAGGGAGATTTAAGTGACTTACAGGGTACACAATAACTCCTTAAATAGCTAAGGAATACATATATTTATCGAGCAGTGAAATGTACTTTTTCCGTTACTTGCTTGTGTTGATTTGAAAAATCAGCCATTTAGATCAACAGTCTTCTTCTTAAGTTGAAAATAACCTGTGTTTAAATCCATGAGACATGTTGACAGGAACATTTGTATTGGTTTACCTGACATAGAGAAGAAATTACAATATAAAGTTTCAAGAAAATTCTGTTTAGAAACTTTACAATCGACTTACAGTATATTTTCTTGCAGAAAAAAGATTTTTTTGGGGGGAGGGACTAATACAATTTAGTAAAGCTGCATAAAAATTTCATAATATTAGTGCTGTGAACCAGCTAGCCTCTGATTTATACCAGATTTTGCCAGAATTTAGGTTCCCTAGATTTCTTCATCATGAGGGTTATTATAAAGCAGCACAGCATGAAAAGTCAGCAGCGGTGATCAGGGAGGAGGTGTGCCCCAAGTAGCTGGTGTATGTAGTTTCTCAGCATATTCCTGAAACAGCCTCCACTGGCAGAGTTCCTAAGAAGCTCTTGGGAGAAACTAAAGATGTCCTCTCGTGGTTGAACCCCTTGAGGAAGAGTGGCAGTGAGAGGGTAGATGTTGTTTGCAATGTATGCTGGCATAGAGAGGTTCTGTTGCCCCTCCCTATGTTAACTACTACGGTGAATGTGCCTGTACCTTCTAACACTAATAAAGTTAAATGTTGCATAGCTGCATTTGTAGCTCAAACGTTTGTCTTTTTCACCAACAGAAGTTGTTCCAATAAGAGATATTACGTCACGCACCTTGCATAGCTACATATCATTTTCATTTTTTGAGAGAACACAAGATAATTTTTATTATTGTTATTTAAATATTCAGGTTTTTGATGAGCAAGGGAAGGATGTAACACCCCGTCCACTCTATCGTCCAGAACCAAGTGCTTCGCTACACAGACAAAGCAAAATCTTATCAACCCAGGATTTCTCTGGGGCTACTGGATCTGATTTTCTGTCTTCCTTATCCATGCATCAGACATCTGGAGTTAATGCTAGTTTAGTAGGTCCATTCTCAAGGTATGTTGTTGCATTCCTTGGGTCAAATCCTGGCCCATTCTATACAGGATTCCAGAATGGCGATTATGTAAGCTTCAGAAGTGCTAGTACCAGGAATAATTGGAGCCCTGGGTTCCAGTCCCTGCTCACATTATTTTAAGGCCCCTTCCATCTCCTTTCAGAGTAGCAGCCGTGTTAGTCTGTATTCACAAAAGAAAGGAGTACTTGTGGCACCTTAGAGACTAACAAATTTATTTGAGCATAAACTTTCATGAGCTACAGGTCACTTCATCGGATGCATTCAGTGGAAAATACAGTGGGGAGATTTATATACATTGAGAACATGAAACAATGGGTGTTACCATACACACTCTATGTTTCATGTTCTCTATGTATAAATGTATAAATACATATAAATGTATAAATATGTGCTTAATTCAGGGCTGTGGGTTCCACTAAGCGGGAGGCGACCTAAAGTTAGGTGTTGCAATGCTGAGGCTCAGTCCGCTTTGTGTATCTAGCCCTCAGTTGCAATTGCAGTATTGCATGAACTTAAGTGTTTGCATTTTTGTCATTTTAAATTTTGGGACTAATAACCAATATAATGGAATCCGTCTATAATTTCTAAGTCACACCTTCCTTAGCCTATTTTCCTACGCTGCATTATGCTCTTGTATATTTTGAGACACACACCTTTTGAGGAAAAGGAAGTATACTAAGAAAACTGTTATACACAAGTATGTTTTAAAAAAAACCTTCGTCACAACCACTCCTTACACATAGATTCATTGTTTTTTCATTTTGACTTAACACAATGCGACCAGTGTATATGATTTTCAAGATGTTTTCTTATATATTTCAAAAGAAATTTCAAAGGATTGATAGTGAAAGGTGCTGAAGACTCACCTGACAGTGGTGGGATCATAGCAACACACAGCAGGTATCCAGCACCATTGCTCGCCTTTATGCCTTTTCTTAAAAAGGGGGAGGGGCATGGCTCCCTGGCCCCCTCCTGTTCCGGCACCCCTGCTCCACACTTCCCAGCCAGCCTGGCTGCTCTAACAGCACGATCAGCTGTGTGGCCTGGAGAGAGGATGAGGCTGGGGTTCAAGAGGTCGGGAATCTAGTCCCACTGCCCTTCCGTGTCACCGTAGGTGAGTTCCTTGGCTTCTCTGAGTTTCAGCATCCCCAGCTGTGAAATGGCAACAACACACCAGGCTTTGAGATCACTGCCTGCTGTGTGCTGTGGTGAATGGATCCCAGATGTTATTAAATTCTTCCCCATCATCTTTTCAGTACCATAGGATACTCTCTCAGATGAAGTCTTAATTTATTAACTCTTTTAAACAAATTCATTATTGTCTTTCCAGTGTCTTTCTAGGATTTCTTTTGCAACACAAGCATTTGCTGTATGCACAACCACCATGTAGTGTGACTTGGCTATCCTACTACCAGTACTTTGTTATTTTTGTATTATTTTGAATATTGCCATATCTGGACTCTCACATTTTGTTTCTGTATATTTCTTTGTTATTAAAGGACATATGGAAGCAGCAGTATTTCTAAATCAACCACATCTACAACTGAGTCTATGGCAGATGAAATAGTAGAGCCTGGTTCCAGACGAGACACAGCTACTAGCTTATCTGGTAAAGAAAATGTGTTTCTGTAATTACAGAGATTCATACTGTTGGCTTTGAAGCATGATTCTGGGAGACACTGAAATTAGAAGGTAGAAGTTGAGAGGTGCTGAGCACCCCTTGAGGAGCTCAGTGCACCACAGTATGTGACTCAAAGTCAACAATATTATTTTTTACAATTAAGTTTTTCTCTTTTGATCTTAGAACAAAAAAAATGTCCATTTTCACATTATATAATTTGACAGATGTACAGGTGAGGCGAGATGAGATAAAAGAACAACTGACAAAAGAAGACATTGATAAGAGAGTGGATATTTACCTCATGGAGACAGAAACTATCTGGCTATTGGACATGCCAACTGTCATGGTGTCCATTGAATCTGAAGATGCTGAAAAAGTGCAGTATGTATATTTACAATTTCACACACACTTCGGTATCCCGAGCCATAATGCGCTCAATTTCCATTGACTTCAGAGAGTTGAAAGGGCTCATTGACTTACAGGATCAAGGTCTTTACTACCTATATTTCACAACATGACTTTTGTCTAAATGCCATACCGTACTCACTTCCATCTCTAAACATGACAAGCTAGTCTCCTTTAGGCTGTCTTGCTGACTGAATTTAGACCTTTCACCTACTCGCGCAGGTAAAGCGGTTAGTGAAAAGTAGGGGTGAGTAGTATCCTAGTGACAACAAAACCCATTACTAAAATGAATGTTTTATTTAAAAAAATCATTTCCCTTTACCCAAGTAAAAAGGCTTTCAAAAACAAATGTCAATCTTTAATTATTTACCATCAGTTAGAGCCCCATTATCATGCGAGGAATGGAAGAATATGGGCAGTTTTTATTGCTTAAAATGCATTTATTATGTAGCAGTGCTATGTAAATATAGGAAAAGCAGACTTTTAATTCAACCATTAAAGGGACACACTCAGATAAACATTATATGGTATTAGTAACACAGGAAACGATGTTTGTTTTCAAAGGAAAAAAAAACACACCTGTAGAAAGAGGAGGATTTAGAGCCCCATCCTGCAAATACTTGCATTTAAGGCAATTATTCACTGTAGTAAATGCTGTGCTTGGTAGTACGTTTGTGGAGGATCAGGTTCTAGATAGCTAGAGAGCCTACAGGAGTTAGGTTTTGATACAGAAAAACTGTTCTGGGATTTCTGGTTTATTTACGGCAGTTCAGGTTTACTAAAAAAAACCACCTCCCTCTCCCCCAAGTTTGGCAAAAGACTCCGGATGTATGCTTTCCATGTAGCTTTTCAGTCAGTAATTCCTAAACAAATGTATAAACCAACAAACTAGATAGTCCTTACGTTTTCCTGGAGCTGCTGTCTCTGTCTCCCACTAAAGTAACCCAAACCCTTTTTAAAGTGTAGAGCCTAAATAGGCTCAGCTGCACCTATTTAGCTCCTACTTTGGCATTTTAGGCTAAATTCACAAAGGTACCAGACTTAGGTGCCTAAATCCAAATATAGGCACCTAAGTCCCAGTTTTAGTCTCCCCTGTGATTTACAAACACCAGCCGTTCCTTGTAGGTGCCTAAACAAACTTGGCACCTACATTTTCAGAGTAAACATTTCCTCTGCCTAAATGTCTGCCTCTGAGTATGTGCACTGTTGTCTCAGTGTAGGTGTCCACGTGCTTATCTCCCACCTCAGCCCCAGAGTGATTCACAAACCAGGGAAGATAGGCTTACCTCTATTGCCTTCAGGACCCTACCTGGTAGGCATGCTCAGACACTGCCTGCTAGATTGGGTCCCATTCAAAGTCTGGTCAGAGGAGAAGCAGGTGGTGATAGTGCTACCCATCTTATATGTTTTAGCAACCCAATGATTAGAGCACGCACCTCTGATGTGGGAGACCTGGGTTCAACTCCCTCTCTGCCTGATGGGGGAGAAAGAATTTGAAGAGGGATCTCCCACCCCTCAGGAGAGTGCTCTACCCTCTGAACTATGGGATATTCTAATGTGGGGGCTCCCTCAATCTCTCCAGTTGAAGCCAATCCACTGTGGATAAATAATCACAAGAGTTGAACCCAGCTCTCCCACAGCCCAGATGAGTGCTCTAACCACTGGGCTAAAAGTTACAACATGGGTGGTGGCAGCTCTATCACCTTCTCCTCCTCCTGCTGCCACCATTGTGTGTGGAGTTGGGTGCCTGCCTGAATCATTCTCACAAGAAATACCTTAGGTGCCTAAGCCTCCTGACTCCAGGAGAGGGGTTCCTAGTTGTGAATCACTAGCAGAGCTAGGCGTCTAACACCAGGCACCTACCTCTCTGAGCGGTAGAGGTTCAGCAGGCACACCTCTTGGCGGTTCCCCTTGTAGTATGTTGTTTTTTGTGAATCACAGTCTAAGACACCTATCTCTCCCCAATCATTTAATAAGGAACCTAAGTGCCTAACTCAGGCTCAGAAAATCACAGGAACAACACTGTGATTCACAAGGTGCCTAAAAGTCCCTTGTGAGTCTAGCCCTTCCTCCCTGGCATGTCTCTCTGAACCTTGGCTAGGAGTTAACCCCCAAAACCAGAGATTCCTGGCCTCTTCATAGGAACTCCACTGGGATGGAGCGTGCCAGGGCTCCCTCTTTGAGCTCTGAAAGCTTGTCACAATGTGTTTGCAGAATTAAGCCATAAGGGCTGGGATCCAGGCTCCCACACGACTTAGCCTGTGAGCAGCAGTTGGCATATTGAACAGCTTATTGCTGGTGGCCATCTGCTTCTGGTACAGGATACAGGGAGGAGGTAATACATCCTGGGTCCCTAGTGGGTCTCCATCCCACAACATAAGATCACACCACAGTGTGATCCAAGGAAAGAAGGACGGGAAGCAGCAGCGAATAATATGACTCTGATTTAGTATGTATGCACAGCATACATTGTAGGTTGATTGGGGGTAGAGGGTGACCAAACTGTTGGTAGATTCAGGCTTAGTATAATCCACTTCTGCCTTTTCAGTATTAAAACTGAAAGAACTAAAAAAAGACATTTCCTCTTCACTATTTCTGCAGTTATTAGAGACTAGACAATATAGATTAATCACTTTCACTTTTGTATTTAGGAGCATCTAGTTAGTTTCACTCTGTAGTAGAGATGGGTCAGAATTACAAATTTCAGAACTGTATCTGAATTTCCCCAAAGTTCAAGGATGTTTGGATCTAATGTTTTGGCTCAGGCCCATCTCTATAATACTTTTCTGACCTAAACAATGTGGCAAAGTTGGGGTAGCAACCACTGCAAGGGAGTATTTGGAGCCAAACAAAACCTTTTTCATTGAAAGAGACAAAAGCAGTAGACCTTAGTTGAAAACACCATGTCCTGTTCAATGTGTTATTTTTAATATCGATAGATTTGGTTTTTTTAACATGTATATAATTTTTCAAAGGGAACAGAACAAGGATTATATTGAGCTTTGTAAAAATAGAGTTGGTAATGATCGCTTTGTGGAAAGGATGATGCAAACTCTTAATGGAGCACCAAAGAATAAAGAAGTACAATGTGACAAAATCCTCATGGAGGATAAAGGTAAATTATCATTCAAAAAAGTGATAAATATAGCAAATGATGCTTAAGAGCCCTTTCTCATTAAACATTTTGTACCTTGCTAATTGTTATAGTGGCTTATTAGTGATTAAACTTAGATTATTCATTATTTTTTAAACTTATTCAGGACAACACTAAAATTAAAGAAAGACCATGCGACTTGGTTGAGGCTACTTTTGTGTAGGTGTATAAGCAGGCTAACAAAGAGTTCAGGAAGTAGACCCGGGTTTTCCTGTCCTGCCAAAATTTTTGTGATTTCAATAATTTTTCCTGCCCCAAATTGGGATGAAAAGTTAAAGTCTCAAATTTTTGCATTTTGAAAATCTGAAAAGAAAATTTGGTTTGGGACCATCAAAATGTTTCAAACTGGAAAACTGGAATTTTTTGTTTAGAAAATGTCAAAATGGAATATTTTGATACTTCCTAAACCTCACAAATATTCTTTGCAATGAGAAATTTCTCAATTTCTCTCCCCTGCAGAAAGTTTCACTTCAGACAAATAAGCATTTTTTCCATAAAAATGTTTTGTCAAAAAATTCCTGAGCAACTCTATCAGGGATTCCTTTTCTTGCTTGTACACCCACGCAGCAGGCAGCCAGAATGTCAGTGTTTGCATTTCTTGAGCATAAGATGCAGGTATGGTAGAGTGGCCTGAAGTAGTCTGCATCCCAACAGAGATGTGGCAGCAGGAGATGGGATGTCGGCATCAGCAGGGCCCCTGTCTCACTTCTGCACCTCCTACTCCTACCATGTAGAAACTGGTCCAGGGAGCAGCACATTCTGCATCCATTGAAAGGATATAGTAGTTGATCCTTCAAAGAGCTATCCCCCTTTGTAATCTGTCTGTCTCAGCACCACAGAGGCAGAGTACCTCTGGAAAGGCAAAACTTTATCCAAAACTCAAACTAAACATCTTTCTGAGATTTGAAAATGCTGTTCCTTTTTTGTCCTTAACTTTTCCAGTGGCTCTGGTTTCAGCTCTAGGTGAAGATAGCACAGCATAGTAGCATGGAAGAAGCTCTTTCCCGGGATTTCAAATCTCCGTCAAACCAGGAAGTCCTGGCAAACACAGGAGAAGACTGTCTTACAAGACTTCTGCCTCAGTTTTCTAGACAAATTTGGACAAGTATGCAGGCTCTTAGATGTTTATCCAAATTTCAGCACCTACTTTTGACATTTTCTTTATGAAGAAGGCAAAAGAAAGGCTGTGGAGAATGGTGCTCTAAATCTTATTTCTTTGATTTATTTAATGTATATAAACTAAATATAAAAGGATAGTATTGTAGAAAAAGTAGAGAGGACATATAAATGTTCACATATATGTGTATAGATTAGATACAGAAATGAACTGGGAGTATATTTTCCACATTATATGCGTCTGTAATTCTGATTATTCTACATTCCAATTAGTTGATGTTTTGCAAAGTTGAATACATAAAGACTTATGGGTATATACATACTAAGTATTATTAGTGTTTTTTAATAAGAGATGGACACAAACACTGATGGGAGACCCTACACACAGACAACGTTAATACACCCATGACAGCCCCACAGTTGATATTGTTGCAAACTTGTCTGACACTTTTCAGAGTAGCAGCCATGTTAGTCTGTATCCGCAAAAAGAAAAGCACCTTAGAGACTAACAAATTTATTTGAGCATATAAGTACTCCTTTTTTATGTCTGACACTGTTTCTGTACCAGTTTACTGAAGAGATTTGGCATTTCCTATAAAAAGTCTAACATTTCCCTCAGTTTTAGTCCTTTACAGTAAATGTTTAGAAGCACAATACAGTAGAAACTCAGAGTTATGAGCACCTCAGGAATGGAGGTTGTTCATAACTCTGAAATGTTCGTAACTCTGAACAAAATGTTATGGTTGTTCTTTCAAAAGTTTACAGCTGAACACTGACTTAATACAGCTTTGAAAGTTTACTATGCAGAAGAAAAATGCTGCTTTCCCTTTATTTTTTAGTAGTTTATGTTTAACACAGTACTGTTCTATATTTGCTTTTTTTTTTTTTTTTTTGTCTCTGCTGCTGCCTGACTGCGTATTTCTGGTTCCAAATGAAGTGTGTGTTTGACTGGTCAGTTCGTAACTGAGATTCTGCTGTGCTATGATATTGTGTAATTCATTTTTAGGGATAATGGCCACTTCTTGGGACTTGTATGATTCCTTTTATGCCTTGGAAACAACGCTTACACCTTCAGTAACTGAAAGAAGTAGCAGACCAACAAGTTTGACTAGCAGTAAATCTAACGTGACCAAAGACCGTGAACGAACCATGTCTACAACTTCTACAGATAGAGGTAACTTTTCGTTCTAGGTTTAAATTTCTACAGTGTTTTTCTCCTTATAAAGTTGTGATTATCTGTATTTTCATAAAAATTATACTGAGAACATGTTCAAACTGCACAATTTAGCATTCAAAATTAAAGTAAAAAATAACAGGGTTAAGGTGGCATGCAGAACCTTCACTCTGTCCCCTTGTGTGTAAGTACTATGATAGTGCTTTATTACATGGTCACCACCACACCTAAAAAATACAATATTATATTACGCTTTTCTCTGCAACCTTAGTTACGCATTATAGAATCATATACTTCAAGATGGTACACGTGGGCATGGGCAAACAGGGTCACATACTATTTCTCAGATAATACTGTACAATTTTTATAACCCTCGGTAATTATTGACCATCAACCTCTATGCTCGTTTTTACCAGACAAAGGCTATAATGTATATTACAAGAAATAGGCTGCAGTCTTGCAGCTCAGCCAGGTCCTCAGTTAACAAAACAAACCCAACCAGACTGGACAGCATTTGTCCTTCCCTTGAGTCTTGGACATTCATCAAAGCCTTCTAACCATTTTTCCCTCCAGCTGAGACCCAGATAGGACTCTCCTAGAAGCCTGTCACCGCTGTTCCTTTAATCAACCAGAGATGTTGCTACTGAATGATGTGAAACACTCTCCTCTGTGGGGTTTGCTCAGTATGCTGCCTCCAAAGCACTCTGAGCCCATTTCCCCTTCATGGCCGGCTGTGGCTTTGCAGGCTGAATCATAAGACTGTCACATTATTTAAAGGGACACGTCTCAGAATAAAAACAATAGCTGTCAAATCAAATTTCCTTTATTAGGGTATTAGTATTACCTTAGAATATTAAAACTGGAAAACAAACTAAAAAAAAAATCTAATGTTCTTTCCACCATGTATGCAGTTTACTTTTTGCTCATCACTCAGCATGGACAATGGAAATGGAGAGTCACCTTCACTTGTATTTATGGTCATATCATAATTGGTTTTATGTCCTCCATGTTGCAATATTTGAGTTGCAAACACTGAGGGGGAATAGTTAAATCTAAACAAAAAAAAACAGTGTCTTTTTAAAATGTGGGAAAAAATCTTAAAGTTAGTTTGTTTTTCTCTTTTAAACAAAAATGCCACCCACCCACATCAACGGGTGGGGGAAACTGACGGGGCCAGCGAGGCAAGGGGGATGGCCCCAGTAGCAAGAGAGGGAGAGATTCGCCAAGGGATAATAGGTAGTTCCTTCCCTTTGGGACTCTCTAGCACCCATTGGCCGGGGGGGGGGGGAGGGAGGGGACTGATTGGCCAGCATTCCCCAGCTCCCAGGAGTTAGCCCGGTGCAGGAGCCATGTGGAGCATCTTTTGGCTCCATTCCAGAAGCCCACCCTATCCACCCAAACTAGGAATGGGAACCTAGCCTGACAGAGGCTGCTAGTCTATCCCATCATTTGTTTAACTTATATATCCTAAATAAGAACTAAGTTCTGCCCTTTGGATACATCCCATTACCTGGGATGCACACAGATACTAGGGCAGAATTTAGCCCTAAGAGATTGTAGTATAGACACTTTATAATACACTATTACTTGACAGAGTTTTGGCAATACAAAGAAAACAAAACTAAAGAACTTAAAAAAAGCTAATAGTGGAGGTATTTATTGATCATTACAAGATTTTCTGTTGGGTTTTTTTCTGGCTTTTGCCAAATGTATTGGATTATCCTACTAAACCTGCCTTTTTTAACATTATGTTGGTTTTCCAGAGAGCATAACCTCAAGTTCTATAATCGATTTGGAAAGTGTTATTCTTGCCAGAATCCACAAAGAAGAGGAAGACCATTCTGAAGCTATATTAAAATCAGAAAAATTTCAGCAGGATTTATTTTTTATGGAAAGGGTTCTAATGGAGAATGTTTTTCAGCCCAAACTTGCAGCTTATCGGCAACTTCCTGTTCTTATAGGTATACTTCTCATCAGTTAAGTCATTCTCAATATGAAGGAGCCTGTTTTGCATGCTAAGAAATATACCAAGTAAAAATGCCCCTACTCTGAAGTCTTGACAGAGGAATCAGTTCTGTTAGATAAAGACAAAGGTCGGGGAAGGATTTGCAAAACCCAAACTGGGGTTGTTCAGTACTATGCTCCATTTTACCAACACCCCCAAAAAATATACATGGAGCTTTCTGGAAGGTTTGGATAAATGGTTCTTGAGCTGGCTCATCTCCACTATTAACAGCAGTAAACTGACACCAGTTTCCACAGTGTTTGTCAAACTAGTTTTTACATTGTATCTTGAGCTTCCAGAAACAATATGGTTTCATGGACAGAGCACTGGACTGGGACTCAAAAGACTTGGGATCTGTTCCTGGCTCTCCCACTAACCTGCTGGGTGACCGCAGGCAAATCACTTCCCCAGCCTGTGCCTTGGCTTATCCCCATTTGATAGATGGGAACAATGATACTGACCTCCTCTGTAAAGCACTTTGAGATCTACTGCTGAAAAGTGCTAGATATGATTGTTTAGTATGTTTTCTTGGTAGTACAGCCGTTCACTAGAATACACAGTCTTTCAGCTCAGCTCTGAGTAAAATTCAGGCCAGACTGGTAGTAAAAGTTTAATCAACTGATGGCTGTTCAGTTCCTTTGAAAAATGAGAAGGTGGATTCACTGCAGATCATAAGTGGCACTTATTGGACTATTGTTGGCAATCTCAATAAAGAAGCCAACAACTGACTGGTGGGAGAGACTGAACTACCATTTTACCCCTTAGGGGAAATCCAGTTAAAAACGGGATTAAAAACATATGAAGTGAGGAAGTTCACATGGCCATGGCCTATATTATACATGTTCACCAGACAGAGGGCTTCAAGCTTCCCAGGCTGTCAATCCAACACTGACCACAAACAATTCATTCAAATTTTTAAGGAGGAGAGGGGGAAAACCCACCGCTACACACACCCTGCATTTTAAAGGGCCCAGAAGAGCTTGCAGACTTAGCTTTTGCCCCACTTATCCCCACGTCAGAAATTTCAAATCTTGCATCCTCTCATGGCGTAAATCCCGGAGTGGTATTTGCTCTTGTTTGATGCTTTAAAAATCAGGGAAGTAGATAAGGGAAAGATTTTCTAAAGCTCAGATGGGAGTTAGGTGCCCAGTTCCTATTTGAAAGTCTACAGTGGAGCCATATTACTTCACAAGAATGACTTGACATCCCTTCCAGATTCGCAAATTTTGTTAACTGGCAACTAAGGAAAAAAACCCTAACAAATTAAATATAAATATACTTTGCACATTTATATTGACCAATGCAATTTCACTGTAATTATAACATTTCAGAGTAACCATTAAATGTGCTATGGCGACAATTTTCAAACCTGGATCCATAAAATTTGGCAGCAAAGTTGAAAAATTTACTACTTAGATTAATCACTAAATAGGAGGAAACTTTCCTTGGGGGATAGATTATGCTATAACTACCTCCTGCCGGGTTCTTGAACCCTCCTGTGAAACATCCAGTACTGGACACTGTTGGTGATGGGACATTGGACTGTCTGGATCGCTGGTCTGTTCCAGAATGCTAGTTCCCATGATCCTACAAAAATGTTGGCCAAATTTTGAAAAAGTCATGAAATCTTAGTTCTCTGAATCTTCATTGCAGTGCTCTGCTATGAAAACTTTGCTGAGAAGTGGGATGAGATCATTGTGTTTCTGGTCAGAATTAGCAGGATTGCAGATTAGTGGAGTACTACTATGATTCTACTGTATTTGTTGCACTTTAGAACCAGTTCTTACATCTGATGCTGGCAAAGAGGAAGCAGAAACAGAGGAAGCAGAAGAGGAGGAGCAGGAGGAGGAGGAAGGAGCGGGGGAGGAAGAGGAGGAAGAGCAAAAGGAAACAGTAGTTAGTTCATCAATTTTGTTAGATCTGAGCGAAGCACCAGAAGAAATCTTACCGCCCAGTCTGGAACGACTGTGGTCCTATACATGTGAATCAACTAATGGCCACAGTGTGAGCAGCATGGCTTGGAACAAGCTAAATCCAGTGAGTTACCAAATTTATTCTTCTAAACTTTTTTCTAGAATTGAGTGGGTAATTGTCAAGGTAAAATACTAGCTCGGGTTTGATACACCCTGCTTGAGCAGGGTTTCAGATGCTGGGTAGATGTGTGACGGGGAGGGATTCATCCCTGAGGTCAGACAGGTGGTAGTTGCTTCCTGCAGTCTGTATCTTCCTTTGCCTTTGCTGACTTAGCCGCATTGATCCACTCTTTCATGACCTTCAGGATAGATAATTGCACCTCACCATTTCTAAGAATGAGCAAATCTACCTTGAGAGATCTTCAGATGGTTCAGTATGCAGCAGTTTACCTTGTCAGCAGCACTGGTCTCAAAGAGCACTTGACCAGGTTCAGATAACTACAGTTCTGAACTACAGTTCAGATAACTACACGCTTATAGAATTCTGGGTCAAATTCAAAATCTCAGCACTAATCTTTAAGACTATTCATGGCATTGATCCAAGATAGTGTAGAGACCACCTCTTGCTCTGTGACAATGATCTCCCTAGACCGCTGCATTTCTCAGGAATGAGGACACCAACAACCTTGAGAGTAAGACTCATGAGAATGGCAGGCACAGCTTTCACAGCAGCTCGTACAAGATTGTAGAACTCACTTCCTGTGGAGCTCAGAATGACCTCAGAGCTCTTTAGTGTCAGAGCAGTATACATCTCATTTCTTGATTTAGCTTTCCCAAGGTGACAACAAAAATAACCATGTAGGGGAAGAAGGTAAAAATGGGGGAGGAGGAATATAAAGACAATCAGACTACCTAAGGGGAAAAAGGGAGGAAATATGGCCACGTATAAGGTCTTTGGGCCAGATCTTCAGATGTAAATTGGTATAAATCCGTTGGCCTGTTGGATACTGATCCATATGTTCATACTGACTAGCCACAAACTAAGAATTATAAGACCATTCAGATGCTTATTTTCAAAATGCTTATTTCACAAAAAAATGGTTGTTTTATGTAGAAAAATACAATTTAAAGGAGTTGAAGAGTAAGGGCCTTGCTTGTTACTTATAAACCACAAGGTGTAAAGAGCGGTGGCAATCATAAAAATATTATTTGTCTTCCCTCCTCAAAATATTAAACCCTGGAAACATTTACCATATTGTATCAAATACTGCACATTAAAATATGTTTATAAAACACTTTGTATACACCTATATAAAATGGACAGATTTTTATAGGGGCCTCCCTTTTTTTGGGCACAATTTGTGCTCACTAAAATTGCTCTTGCAATTAATTTTCACTCATGCATAGTGAGTAGTGCCTTACACTTACTGCATTAGAATCTGACTAAATCTTATTTACTGTAATTACCTTACTTTGCTTATATGACTACATTACTGAGGCTGTGTACTTTGTACTGGGTACTAAGTTATCTAAGTAGAAGGATTTGCACACTTAACTGCTGGCAGAAAGCTGCCACTTAAAATTCTAGCTTTAAATTTCTGATTTAATTGAAGTATATCCACCAATCTGTACTTTTGGGTTTTAGGATCTTTTGGCTGTTGGTTATGGGCAATTTGGTTTTCAAGAACAGAAGAAAGGCTTGGCTTGCTGCTGGTCACTCAAGAACCCTATGGTAACACAAGTAGAGCTAAAGCACAATTTATTTTAGTTCTTGTTACTTTAAGACTTTTTTTGCTGTAATAATTTTTTATGGTTTAATAGCAGATCATTGAGTTTCCCTTTGCTTGAGAAAGCAAGACATATAGCAGTAATATTATTTTGTTAGCCCAGACTGAACCCCTTCTGGAAAATGGATAATAATTAACAATTCTTATTTTTAAAATGTCTAAACTACCTTACTGCTCGTGAAAAATGCTAGAAAAAACTGGAGACTAAAGATCTCCTCTTATTCGCAGGACAGTTACAGCAAAGGGAACAAGGGTACTGCACACTTGCTCCACAATAGCCTGCCAATGTGCCTCAGATTTGACCTGGAGGAAGTATCTATAGAAAGTAGTCTCTGTGCCCATTCACCCTCTGTACTGTGGTTTTGTAATATAGACATCTGTCCACAGGGAACTGAACTCATGTCACAAAGACTATAAAACAGCTGGTTAGAACAGTCAGTTTAAACCAACTTAGGCTATGTCTACACTGCACTTTCGTCATTAATTGACAAAGGACATACGTTTTAACGACAAATCGCCAGTGTGAACAGCGCTTTGTTGATAGGAGACACTCTCCCACCGACAAAGCTACCACCCTCATTGGGATAGGTTTATTTTGTCATAAGAAGAGCTCTTTCCTGGTGACAAAGAGAGGCTACTCTTTGTGCCTTACAGTGACAAGGCTTTAGCAGCACGTGCTTCTGTGCTTCTGTAAGCTGCGCAGTGTAGACATAGCCTTAGACTGGGCAACCTAAGAATGAAAAGCTCTGTATTCCATTTCCAATCCCCTAGCCAAGATTATGAATTAATCAGTTCAGCTATTACCTGGATTAGATCCAGGCGTGCAGTTCCTCCTATAGAGATTTTTATACAGTAGGGAAAGCTCTTTTAAGCATTTCAAATATAAAAACAAATTTATTTACCGTGCATTTGTTTTCCCATAATCTTCCTACAGTTGCAAATTGAGGATATTTGTATTTTAAATTTAGGGTTTCCCCTTCCCAGTCCATCTTCTCGTCTGCAATAAATTTTTCGCTGTATGAAAAAAAGTAGATATTTTAAATTTAATTTCAACATCTGCAGAATGTAACTTGTCATGATATTTTCAATAAACAGCAGATTTCAAAGATAACATTTAAAAAGTTGATGTTTCTATGAGAATAGTGATCCTTGCCAAAATAAATTTTTGAATTAAAAAAATGAAAATGAGGGTTTTCTTTTAATATAGAATAATTTTCACTCAAAAATGTGAAAACTCAATTTTTCACAAAATCAAATTTTCTGAAATCAAAACAAAATGCAGAAACCTCATTCTGAAGTTTTCCAGCTTCACTGTAAATATTTCACACAGCCCTAGCCATGATGCAGATTTCCATGGAAACACTTTGTAATGTCACCAACTCAAATTTGAGTTCATTACCAAATCAAGTAAAAAAGACGATAACCTATCAGGGAAAATGCTCTTATTCAGATACATCTGGGATGAGAGTAAAAAACAGACAATAACTGGGTAGGCAACTGGACATTTCTGTAACTCTCTCTTCTTTCAATTTTGCTCCAATCTGATGCGTTCCATTTTCAATAAGTAAAAGAGATGTGCTTAGATGTATCTGGGTTCTTCTCAGCACTGCCACTTGTGCGCATCTGCTGTATGACCTTGGACAAGTAACTTCATCTCTCTGTATCTGAATTTCCCCATGTGTTAAATCAGGATGTAGGGCTTGTCTACATTGCCCCACACTTCGGATTATGGGGGTGTGAAGAGTAGAGCGCACCAAAGTGCTGCACTGTAATGCCCTTGTGTAGACACTGTGGGTGTGAACCAAAACGTTCCTAGTTTGTGCTTGAAGAGGACTATGTTAACAGGTCTACATTAATGCAAATTAGGAACTTTTTAGTTTGCACCTGGAGTGTCCACGCTGGGGAACTATAGTGCAGCATTTTGGTGTACACTCACACCCCATAGTCCAGACTGCAAGTCAGTATAGATATAGCCAAACTTCCCTTTTTAATGTCATTTGATCTAGGGTTGGAAAGTGTTGTATAAGAGCACTGTATTTTTATTATTATTGTATTATTTTGTTTAAAAGCTATGATATTTCTTATACACTCATCCATTTCTGCAAGCTTTTATATGACTAAAAGTTTGCAGGATCGGGACCTCAGGGTCTTATTCTCATTTCAGTATGTAATTGCTAGACAGTTCCTCGAAGAGAGGTTCTAAGATCTAGTAAGCTTTTATACTTACATCTTTAGGGCCAAATCTTGCTTGCACACAAATATTATTGACTTCAGTGAGACTACCTTTGAGTGAGATGAGTAAGATATGACCCTAAGTGTAGTAAGCTGGGCAGTGGAACTAAAAAAGGTGAAATGCCTGTAAAAATCAGATCTATCTGATAGAATGCAATAAAATTTGTATTGAAATGAATTGTTACATTCATTTACTATTCCTATAACATTTAATTTTCACTTCAAATGCAGTAGGATCCCAATTATCTGAACCCCCAAGATCCAAATTGCACTATATAATGACCTGCCCCTATGTGTCTGTGACTGTTAGCTCCTTTACAACTGACTCTGATTATATAGACAAATTTGAAGTCACCCAAACTGTTGAGATAATTGCATCACACTAAATGGTTCTGTAAAGGTCTAAAATGATTTGGCTCAATATTTGTTTTACATTTTTGATTCTTGAAAATCTAATTTTTTAAACACACAGTAAAAATGAATACTCACAATCAAATTTAAACAATGGTGGTGCTTCTATAAACATTACTCAGGGTAAAGCCAAGGTGTTATTCCTGAGTTAAGGAGTACAGAATAAGCCTCTAACTGGTGCCCTCCTTCCCTCTAACAGTTTAGATGTTCTATCACATCAGTATTTATGGTACCATGAAATTAACACAATACAGATCAACAATAATCAAGTTATTTCCATCTCTGCATTAGCTGAGTGCATAAGCATCAGAATTAAGAGCTGACATGTATTGAAACATACTTATTTTCAGACGAGTACCCTGATGACAATGGTTAAATTCAATGGCTTCCGTAGAGTTGCATCTTCTTACAAGGGCTAAATTTGGTCCATGTAGGCAATGCAATTCTTTATTTGCAGTCTATAAACGGTACATTGCATGAACATAGCACTCCAGCTTAGACTACCTAAATTACCTTACATTACAGTTTACCTCCAACTAAACTTCTGCTGATTAGAAAAACACATGAATAAAAAGCAGAGAAGATTAGATTTTAAATTGTGAGATGTACAAAAATTAGAAGTGGTGGTTTGCTTTTTTTCAAATGTCAGGTTTAGGTTGTAGTGGGGATCTGGATCCCATCCCACTTTATCCAACCCTCCAAAGTTCAGGGAAATTGTTGTCATTTACATGGTTCAGTTTAAACCCACCTCTAATTCAATTTACAATACAAAAGTCACATTTCTGCACAGCGCTCCTTTCAAATTTGACAACTGTAGCAGGAGATAGTAGTCTCAGTTATTTAGAATCTAGTCTTAAAGTTGAACCTGGTAAAGCATTTGTAGGTTTAGAAAAATAGTGGGTAATCTAGCAATTAACTAACGCTCAGAAGAATGAAATAAATGTGCTATTTTCTTCTGTTCAGTGGCCAGAGCGTATTTATCAATGTGATCATGGTGTTACTGCATTGGATTTCTCTCTGGCAAACCCAAACCTTTTAGCAGTTGGAATGTACAGTGGCACAGTAGCCATCTATAATGTACAGACCCGTAATACCACAGCACTTTTGGACAGCAGGTAAGATTACAAATTCCCCACCTTGTTGTACTTCTTTCATGTCTTGTTAGTTGTGGACATTCCATTCCATTGCTAAAATTTAAATAAATGAGTGAACAGTAGTGCTCTTGAAAAAATGGATTCAGTGAATGCAGGGAAGTGCTGGATAATTCCCCCCTTCCCAGCTTTGCTAACGTCTCTCAATTCTGATTTGAAACATTTACACTGTACCCTACAATCCTGGGACTTACTTGAAAAGAAACTGTCAGGCATGAAGACTTTGATATGTATAAATGTCCATGAAAGTCTAGATTAGGCCAACCATGAAGTAGCGCCAGTACAACGATTCGGATACCTAAAGAAAAGTGCTTGAGTCCTTTAAACATTATTCTATAATTAAATATGTAAAAATATTTTCTAAAATGTACTTTTAAAACAATAGATACAGGTCTTAACACTGACTTTTCATAGAATCATAGAAGATTAGGGTTGGAAGAGACCTCAGGAGGTCATCTAGTCCAATCCCCTGCTCAAAGCAGGACCAACCCCAACTAAATCATCCCAGCCAGGGCTTTGTCAAGCCAGGCCTTAGAGGTTTTTAAGGATGGAGATTCCACCACCTCCACAGGTAACCCATTCCAGTGCCTCACCACCCTTCTAGTGAAAAAGTTTTTCCTCGTATCCAACCTAGTCCTTCCCCACCTCCCATGAAAATTAAAATAACCAATTAACACATGCCCACACTACAGAGTGTTTGTTCCTAAGTTATGTACACACCAATTTTTTTGCTTATGTAGTAACGTTTTCAAAATGCATTCTCCCTTATTTCTGTTAACTTATAGCTCTGTTTGTGCGTTCCTTTATTTCAGTGAATCTTTTGATAAGCATATAGGTCCTGTGTGGCAGCTGAAGTGGATCGAACAGGACAGGGGCACAACGGGAGATGACAAAGGAGAGATATTAATCTCTATCTCAGCAGATGGCAGAATAACCAAGTGGCTTATACGCAAAGGACTAGGCTGCACTGGTGAGCATATTCTCTCAGGACTTTCTACACTGGGCTATTGCACAATACCTTATTCCAGGCAATTTCCCTGTGTAAACAGCCCGTAGATAAAACATTTCAGAATTGTTAAATATCTGAAGTACTTATGAGTTATTCAGAATGTTCTAATACGTCACTATCTCTTTCATGTAAAATTCATATTTCATGTACTGTCTATTTGCATAGATCTGATGAAACTGAAGCGAACCGCAAGTGAAAGGAAAAAACTAACCGGTGAAAAAGAAAAGAAAAGTGAAGCTCTGATATCTCGACAGGCACCTGGAATGTGCTTTGACTTTCATCCAAGGGTAGGCTCAGGAAATCCATTGTGATTATTAATGTTTCAAATTCAGTTGGCTGAAGTTTTATCTATCAGAACAAAACATTATAGGTCAGATCCTCAGCTGGTGTACACTGATGGAGCTAGACCATCACAGCTGAAGATTTCACCTTATGTGTTTAAACAAACACTAAGTTGTAGTAGTCTCCTGGATTCTGGAGACATAAGCTAGACAAGCCCTAACTGCTGCTCTAACTGTGAATATTCAGATAAGAATGAATGAAAATTTCAAAAGAAAAGCTGTATGGTGCCAGAAGATTAATACACTTGCCTTTTACTTTTAGCTGATTTTATTCAAGGTTGATTTAAGTCACCAATGAAACACATTTGGAAATCTTTCTTTTCCCAAGTGATTTTTTCCTGTCTCACGAGATCACTGCATGCATGTCTGCATTGTAGCTACTCTCTAATGAAAGCCCCCAAACAGTTCAAAAATGGAGATCAGGATTCAGGTATAGAGGAAGCTTGCACTGCAGTTGCCCATGTTTCTCCAGCAATAGCTATAGAATGGTTCTGATTTACATAAGCGCGAACAATATTACCCAAAACTGATCAGAGAGAAAACCAAACAAGCTAACCCCTATATTTTGTGAGTTTTACTGTTTTAATTATGTTGCTCTTGATTGACTTTGGGCCTGATCCCAAGGGCAGGTGAACAAACACAACTCTTATTGAAGTCAGTGGGAATCTGAGTGCTCCGCATCTCCCAGCAATTTCACAGCCTAAACTCCACACAGCTCTTTAAATATGTCAGGATAAATATCCTACAGGGTGAATCCCAGTTTGGAATAACTGCGTTGTGCAGGAAGTCAGACTAGACAATCATAATGGTCCCTTCTGACCGTAAAGTCTATGATTCTATGATCTGGATTTTTGTTTCAGAATACTAATATATATCTGGCTGGAACAGAAGAAGGACATATTCACAAATGTTCTTGTTCATATAATGAGCAGTTCCTAGAGACCTACCGAGGTCATAAGGTAGGTAAAATTAAATAACAGAAAAAGTGATTGGATCAGTTAGATCTCAGAAGAAATGTTTGATTATATGGAATAAGTTTATTTAATTTGTTATATTCAGTAGACGACACACTTGCAACACAGATTTTAAAACCAAAGCCAAAGTAGCTTAGTAAGAAGGCTACAAGATATAAAGCATTCAAAACTCTTTTGAAATTATGCTCTTCAGTATATAGATTCTTTAAGAATTACTAATCCTTTCTTAAAGCTTTAACTGCTACTAATTTAAATTTAGTCCTGGCTTTATTTAAAATTAATAATCAGATCAGTGATCTCATTGACCTGGAACTCATGGGTTAATATGGTAAAATGTCCACACGAGTTTTAACAACCCCAATTGCTCTGCACCTCAGTTTTGTCTCGTCCAGCAGATTGCATTCCCAAGAGTAGTTTTTCCTAACGTCCTGACAGGGCATTGAATCAGTAGTGACTCAGAGGGAAAAACGAAACCCCTACTGAATCATCAACAGCACCAACAAAATATTTTTGGTCTTAGAACAAACAGCACATCCTGTGATCTTTGCTGTCCGAACACGCTGCCTATGACAGTGAAATAATAGTATTGTCAGTATTGTCTGTATATATATATATATAATGCAATATATAATGACAGATTGTCAAAGACACAAAGGGCACCCAGCTCCCATTTAAAATAATTGGGAGTTGGGCGCCTAGTTCGCTTAAGATCTTTTGAAAATCCCAGCCTGCTAGCTTTGGAGTAACATGCAATTCCTTTTCCCCCCCATGTTAAGGGTCCTGTGTACAAGATAGCATGGAATCCATTCAGTACTGACATGTTTTTAAGCTGCTCTGCGGACTGGAGTATTATTTTATGGCGCCAAGATTCACTAAGGCCCATTTTAACTTTCAGTTCCACCACTGATGTTGTTCATGACATTATGTGGTCTCCAAAATCAGCCTTTGTATTTGCAGCAGTGAATGAAGGCAGAGTGGAAATTTGGGACCTGAGTGTCAGCACGTAAGTAATAACTTTTCTTGCATAGGATTCTGAAGTAATACAAAGACACACTAACTCTTATAAAATATTTAATTATGGTAGTGTCCAAAGGCCCCAGTTGGTAATGGTGCCTGACCATTATAATTACAAAGCATTTAGATGTAATAACATTGTATTGCGTTCACCGTACAGGCAACAGGTAGCATGTACTAAAGAAAATCCAGGGCTGGGCGCTGGATGGCTCAGGGAACTGGGGGCTGCTCTTTTGCCACAGGAGTCCTGATTCTACCACTTCCATGTGTTTTTAAAAAACATCCTTGAGCTTTAACTTTTTGGGACTTTTGCACATGAGCAACAGATACCAGTGGGGGTTGGGACACCTGCCCCTTCTCCTCCTCTTCAGTTTTTTGATGAAAAGTGAGTATAAAAGGGTGTCAGATCAGAATTATCTACTCGCTTACACTGATGATAGCACCGCACACGCACTTTGCCCAGCATAAATGACTGTACCAAGTGCAATGCAGCAGAGAACTAGGTCCAGTGTATCAGTCACTAAAAAGCAAATGGTTTGTATTCTAAAAAATGAAAAATCTCCAGCTATTAGGCAGTAGACCAGATGATTTTCAGATAGCCAGGATACCCTGGTTAGCGAGGGTTGGGATTTGAGTTGTATTTATCAGAGAACTCGCAAAATGCACTTTCACCATTACTTAAGGTTTTAGATTTTAGTTTGCCCAGATAATAAAAGTGAAAAGTAAAGGTTCAGCAATACTAGGATTAGCCGATTCCTGTAACAGTCATCTAGACAAATGCCCCATTGGTCTCATTTCTAGTAGATACTAACATCATCTCATTTTTTGGTTTCAGTTTGGACCCCCTGATTGTGACTTTTGCCAACCCGGGAGTGAAATTCACAACTGTGCTTTTTGCTAGAAACACAGACTGCATTCTTATAGGGGACAATAATGGAATCGTAGGTGTGTATGAGCTGAGGAACATGACTGCTTCAGATAGTAATAAGGTACGACTAACTGGATAAGAGGGTTGATCCTAAGATGCCCATATACTTATCTGGGTTCCTCTTCCTTCATTAAGCATTTATCTTAAAGAACTAGGTTGAAAAAGGTTTAGCTAATAAAGGTTTAGCTAATAATAAATGTGTAACAACACATGGAATGCAAGAATGGATTCAAAGCACAGCTGGCTCCTGCTCTTATACGTGCATAAAAATAGGATTTCTGAACCAGAGGGATACATGAGGTCCAATTCAGGACTTAGACTCCACTTGATTGAAAAGCTGCAGCCAGGAGGGGAACCACTGGGTACAGTTTTTGGATTTTCTCCCAAAAGCTGCAGAGTTCACACATATTCCACTGATTCTCTAAGGCCAGAGTCAAAGGAGTCTGTTGTTTTTTTTCAGGGTAGAGGAAGGAGTCAGCGGTGTGGTCTGCACATTTTATCACATACCCTCTTATAACATACCCTCTTGATCATCTACACACACACACACACACACAAATTTTATCCCTAGCCTGAGTAATCTCCATGTCCAGCTGATTCTGCATGCACACTCCCAGCCATCCAGAACAGAGGGTCACATTAATGCTGTCCTCTCCTTGGCAAACTCACTAGCCTCTTTTCTCCACCTTAGCTTTACTCTGGCAGAAAAATAATTGCCTTGCTCCTGCAAGGACTTTCCTGTCCCAAAATCCAGGTCTCTCCAGTTTCCTTGGACTAGTACTGAGTGAATCTTCCTAGAGTACAGCTGTTGTGGACTTCATGCTAACACAGGCAGCAATGTTAAAGCAGTGAATCCCTGCTGCTCACCTCGCCCCTTTCTTTTAACAGCCATATCTGTGCCAATTTATCCTGAAGCTCTCCTGTGGGCAGAGAATGTGCTGATTAAATCAAACAACCCTGGCTCCCTCGTCCTTCCTAGAGCAGTCTGCAAAGGTCTTGGGCATTCTAATAACTGGTGCGTCCATGTTACAGTGGGGTCTGGCAGACTCATTATCTGGATCCCTGAACTATACTGCTTAAATCCATTCATAGCTCTACCACTGTCTGTGCACCACTGGGCAAGTAACTTAATTGCTCTGTGCTTCAGTTTCCCAATTAGTAAAATGGGGTTATTACCCACCTTTGTAAAGCACACTGATTTCAGTGTAAAACAGTATGTAAAAGTAATATTCATAGAATATCAGGGACCTCTGGAGGTCATCTAGTCTAACCCCCTGCTCAAAGCTGGACCAACCCCCAATTTTTGCCCCAGATCCCTAAATGGCCTCCTCAAGGATTGAACTCACAACCCTGGGTTTAGCAGACCAATGCTCAAACCACTGAGCTGTCCATCCCCTCCATCTATTTGGGAAGAGAAAATGCTAACCTTAATGAGAGCCGCACTTGGTGAATTAAACAATAGTTATTATCTGTGTTACCATTGTGCCTAGGAGCCCTAGTCATGGACCCGGACCTTCTTGTACTAGGCACTGTGCAAACAAAACAAAAAGATGTTCCTGCCCCAAAGAGCTTAGAATTTAAGTAATAACTGTTACACTTACAAAAAAAATTATTGCACAATTACCACTGTAAGTTACAAAACTTCTCTAAATTTTTTAAGCACAGAAAATTCTGCAGTAAATTCAGGTGAAAAGATAGTCTTGTGGTTAAGGCATTGGACTGGGACACGCGATCTGTGTTAAGTTACCATCTCTGACACAGATGTCCTGTGTGACCTTGGATGAGTCACTTATTTAGGCTGTGTGCTTCAGATCCCTGTTTGTAAAATGTGGATACTATTTCTCTTTGGCCTGGTCTACACTACGAATTTATGTTGGATTTAGCAGCGTTAAATCGAATTAACCCTGCACCCGTCCACGTAACAAAGCCATTTTTTTCGACATAAAGGGCTCTTAAAACTGATTTCTGTACTCCTCCCCAGTGAGGGGATTAGCACTGAAATCGACATCGCCGTTTCGAATTAGGGTTAGTGTGGACGCAATTCAAAGGTATTGGCCTTCGGGAGCTATCCCACAGTGCACCATTATGACTGCTCTGGCCAGAACTCTGAACGCGGATGCACTGGCCAGGTGTACAAGAAAAGCCCCGGGAACTTTTGAATCTCATTTCCTGTTTGGCCAGACGAGCTCATCAGCACAGGTGACCATGCAGTCCCAGAATCGAAAAAGAGCTCCAGCATGGACCGAATGGGAGGTACTGGATCTGATCGCTGTATGGGGAGAGGAATCCGTGCTATCGGAACTATGTTCCAAAAGACGAAATGCCAAAACATTTCAAAAAAATCTCCGAGGCCATGAGGGACAGAGGCTACAGCAGGGACGCAACACAGTGCCGCGTGAAACTTAAGGAGCTCAGACAAGCGTACCAGAAAACCAAAGAATCAAACGGACGCTCCGGGACAGAGCCCCAGACATGCCGCTTCTATGCTGAGCTGCATGCAATTCTAGGGGGAGCCACCACCACTACCCCACCTCTGTCTGTGGACTCCAATGATGGGGTACTCTCCCCCATGCCTGAGGATTTTGCGGACGGGGAAGATGAGGAGGAGGAGGACGAGCTTGAGGAGAGCACACAGCACACCATTCTCCCTGACAGCCAGGATCTTTTTATCACCCTGACTGACATTCCCAATCCAACGCAGGCGGAGAAGGGACCTCTGGTGAGTGTATCTTTTTAAATATAATACATGTTATAAAAGCAAGTGTTTTTTAATGATTAAGTAGCCCTGAGGACTTGGGATGCATTCGTGGCCAGTACAGCTGCTGGTAAAGTCTGTTAATGTGTCTGGGGATGGAGCGGAAATCCTCCAGGGACATCTCCATGAAGCTCTCCTGGAGGTACTCTAAAAGCCTTTCCAGAAGGTTTCTGGAGAGAGCAGCCTTATTCTGTCATCCATTTACCACGCCATGCTAGTAGCAAGTAATCTGGTATCATTGCATGACAAAGCCTGGCAGCGTATGGTCCCGGTGTTTGCTGGCATTCAAGCAACATCCGTTCTTTATCTCTCTGTGTTATCCTCAGGAGAGTGATATCATTCATGGTAACCTGGTTGAAATAGGGGAATTTAATTAAGGGGACATACAGAGGTGGCCGTTCCTACTGGGCTGTTTTCCTGTGGCTGAAAAGAAATCCTCCCTGGAGTTAGCCACACGGTGGGAGTGGGGGCCATTGGCACTGAGCTGTTCGCGTTTGGCTAGCAGGGATCTTCCCTGATACCAGCCACATGGTGGGGTGAGGGGTAAAGCAATCATCCCAGAGAATTGGATGGGCGAGGGAGTTAGTTTGGTTTCTGCTACTGCATGTTAACAGGAAAACCGCAGCACTAAATGGCCAACTCAACTTGCTTTGCTTGGTATGGGAGAGGAGGGCGCTGAAGTTTGCAGAAGCCAAAAGACTATGGCTTACCAGGCCGCCTGCAAGCTGAATTCTGCTGCCCGGCACTGCATGTGTGATCTCTAACACCAAAGCCGCAGGCACTCAATATAAGATGTAAAATGGAATCTTGTACCAAAATCACATGTGCTATGTAATGTGAATAGTGTTGTTCACCGTGAAAGAGTATAGCCATTGTTCTGTAAAATGTATCTTTTTAAATACTTCACTTCCTTTTTTTCCTCCAGCAGCTGCAAATGTTTCAAGCCTCCCTCCTCCGTCCCAAAGGCTATCTCAGATAAGGTGGTGAAAAAAAATGCACGCGCGATGAAATGTTCTCTGAGCTCATGCAGTCGTCCGGCACTGCAGAGCTCAGCAGAATGTGTGGAGGGACAAAATAGCAGAGTACAGGAAAGTGGCCGATGAACGTGAGGAGAGGTGGCAGCAGGAAGATCAGAGGAGGCATGAGGCAACGCTGGGGGCTACTGCGGGATCAAACGGACATGCTCCGCCATCTGGTGGAGGTTCAGAATGGCAGCAGGATCACAGAGTGCCGCTGCAGCCCCTGTTTAACTGCCTTCCCTCCTCGCCAAGTTCCATAGCCTCCTCACCCAGATGCCCAAGAACGTGTGGGGGAGGCTCTGGGCACCCAACCACGCCACCCCAGTGGACAGCCCAAGCAACAGAAGGCTGTCATTCAAGAAGTTTTAAAGTGGCCTTTTCCTTCCCTCCTCCCACACCCCACCCGGGCTACCTTTTGAGTTATCTCCCTATTTTTATAATCAATTAATAAAGAATACATGTTTTTTTAATGATAGCGACTTTATTTCCTTTGCAAGCAAGCTGTGATCGAAGGGGGGAGGGCGGGTGGCTTACAGGGATTTTAGAGGCAACCAAGGGGGCGGGTTTCCATCAAGGAGAAACAGAAGCATCGCACAGTACCCTGGCCAGTCATGAAACTGGTTTTCAAAGCTTTCCTGATGCGCACCGCGCCCTCCTGTGCTCTTCTAACCGCCCTGGTGTCTGGCTGCGCATATTCAGTGGCCAGGCGATTTGCCTCAACCTCCCACCCCACCATAAACATTTCCCTTTTACTCTCACAGAGATTGTGGAGCACACAGCAAGCTGCAATAACAATGGGAATATTGGTTTCGCTGAGGTCTGAGCGAGCCAGTAAACTGCGCCAGCAACCCTTTAAACATCCAAATGCACACTCTACCACCATTCTGCACTTGCTCAGCCTATAGTTGAACAGCTCCTTACTACTGTCCAGGGTATCTGTGTACAGCTTCATGAGCCAGGGCATTAAGGGGTAGGCTGGGTCCCCAAGGATAACTATAGACATTTCAACATCCCCAAAAGTTATTTTCTGGTCTGGGAAGTAAATCCCTTCCTGCAGCCATTTAAACAGACCAGAGTTCCTGAAGATGCGAGCGTCACGAACCTTTCCCGGCCATCCCACGTTGATGTTGGTGAAACGTCCCTTGTGATCCACCAGTGCTTGCAGCACCATTGAAAAGTACCCCTTGTGGTTTATGTACTGGCTGCCCTGGTGGTTCAGTCCCAAGATAGGGATATGCATTCCGTCTATAGCCCCACCACAGTTAGGGAATCCCATTGCAGCAAAGCCATCTAGTATGACCTGCACATTTCCCAGAGTCACTACCTTTGATAGCAGCAGCTCAATGATTGCGTTGGCTACTTGCATCACAGCAACCCCCACAGTAGATTTGCCTACTCCAAATTGATTACCGACTGACCGGTAGCTGTCTGGCATTGCAAGCTTCCACAGGGCTATTGCCACTCGCTTGTGAACTGTGAGGGCTGCTCTCCTCTTGGTATTGTTGCGCTCAGGGCAGGGGAAAGCAAGTCACAAAGTTCCATGAAAGTGCCCTTACGCATGCGAAAGTTTTGGAGACATTGAGAATCATCCAAACCTGCAACACTATGCGGTCCCACCACTCTGTGCTTGTTTCCCGTGCCCAGAATCGGCGTACCATGGCATGAGCCTGCCCCAGTAACACCATGATCTCCAAATTGCTGGGACCACGGTTTTAGAGAAATCTGTGTTCATGTCCTCATCACTGCGCTGCCGTCGCCTCCTTGCCTGGTTTTCAGGTGCTGGTTCTGCATAAACTGCATGATAATGCGCGAGGTGTTTACAATGGTCATAACTGCTGCGGTGAGCTGAACGGGCTCCATGCTTCCTGTGCTGTGGTGTCTGCTTGGGCAATCCAGGGAAAAGAGCGTGAAATGATTGTCTGCTGTTGCTTTCACGGAGGGAGGGAGGGAGGGTTGACTGACGGCATTTACCCATAACCACCCGTGACAAATTTTTGGCCCCATCAGGCATTGGGAGCTCAACCCAGAATTCCAATGGGCAGCGGGGACTGCGGGAACTGTGGGATAGCTACCCACAGTGCACCGCTCAGAATGTCGAGGCTTGCCACGGAACTGTAGTCACACACTGCCGAATTAATGTGCTTAGTGTGGACACATGCACTCGATTTTATACAAGCTGTTCCCAAAAATCGACTTCTGTAAAATCAGAGTACTTTTGTAGTGTAGACATGGCCTTTGTCTGTTTTGCTTATTTCATGTGTTAGCTCTTTGGACAAGAGTGTCTTTCTAGGGTTATATACAGTGCCTAGCACAGTGGACTCAGATCACTCTAATACTCCCACTAATAAAGTGAATGGACTTCAGCATGGTGTACGTTGCCCTACTGAACAGGTACCGCCTTGCAGGCCAGCATTTTTTTAGAAAGAAGGTTCTATGGTTGAATAAGTTTATGCCGTCAAGTATGATGCTGAAAATCCATGCTTCACAGTCCTACCTGCCATGAAATCTCTTTAAACTACCACACCAGTTATTTCTAAAGGTGCTATTTAGGAAACAGTAAGTCTGTAAAAGGAAGCAACTAGCATCATGCAATTAACTTTGCCATTTACTTCTCCCTTCTTCTTGATACCCTTTATGTGGATATCATTAATCTAGGACTAAGTGGGGCTTTTTAGATCACTTCTTTTCTTAAGCACAATTACAATGCAATACAGTATCTTTTTTCTTCTTTTCCAGGTGGATGCTTTACATGACATAATTGGCTCTGCTCTAGCCAGTTAACACTAGTTTACTGATAATACTTCTCAGTCAGTAAACAAAGGAAAAGACAACAAATAATTATGTCATATGTGTCTGTATATCCTGAAGCCTGTCATTTAATTATGCAGAAAAAAAATCCATCACCATAAAATGCAATATTGTATTAAATAAAGGGTAACAATTTTTCCATCATTAAATGTATTTGTGGAATCAAACCGAATGCCCTGAATTTTCCGCTGGAAATGCCCATCATTGCACACAAATTAAGTATAAATTAAGCTTCCAGTATATTATCCTGTATCAATGCACAAGTCAATTGCATAAATCAAACAGAACATCCTGTCCTTCCTTATTACGCATATGGATCAGTAAAGTTCCAAGTAAAGAGAGGGCTGGAAACTTGAGTCACAGTGGCAGAAAACTAAGTTCATAACAGACAATTTGAAACACTAAGAATTTCTCCAAGCATATGTAGAGGTGCTATTGCAGTCCAAGAGATCATTCCTGTACATTAGCCATTGCATTATACTTGTGATTGTGGGGTGAAATCTTGGCCCCACTGAAGTCATTGGCAAAAAGCCCATAGACTTCACCAGTGCCAAGATTTCACCCTCAGGCTAGGATTTCATCCCAGTCTTTATTTTCAAAGCACTAAACAGCCTATGTCCAGGACACCTAGTGTAGTGCTTCATCCTTCAGTACCTCAACAGCTCTGCTCAGAGACAACAGACCTGAAAGACAAAGCTTATTTATCCAAGAGACAGGGCTTTCTTTGGGACTGACCTGAGACTGTGAAACTGTCCCCCTGAAGGAACCACAATGAACCTCACAGAGTTCAGGTCCAAACATCACACATACTCCCTCAGCCTTGCCTTCCTGACAACACCACATGGCACATCAAGGGCCTGAGCCAAAACCTAGTGAAGGCAAGAGAAAGATACCCACTAGAGTCACTGGCCTCTTGGTCAGGCCCTAACTTATTAGAGGAAGAAGAAGAAAAAATCTGGAAGAGAACTCCTATTTAGGCCACCACAGTGGGAATCAAGACATTGCCTCAAATCTGCATTAGAAGCAGTCAATTTACCGTCTCTTGCTCTCAACCTGGCATTCTCTTGCCTGGGAATACATCATATAGTGACAGGTTTCAGAGTAACAACCATGTTAGTCTGTATCCGCAAAAAGAAAAGGAGGACTCGTTAGTCTCTAAGGTGCCACAAGTCCTCCTTTTCTTTTTATCATATAGTGAGTGAGCAAGATATTTTTCAGATCCCACGCGATCTGCATTCAAACCACAGCTAACGATAAAGGCAGAGCTCCTCAAGCAGTTACAACTAAACTTCAGCAAGTAGCCAGTAAAAGCTACTAAGGCAGATTCATAGATTCATAGATTCATAGATATTTAGGCCAGAAGGGACCATTATGATCATCTAGTCTGACCTCCTGCACAATGCAGGCCACAGAATTTCACCCACCACTCCTAAAAAAGACCTCACACCTATATCTGTGCTATTGAAGTCCTCAAATTGTAGTTTGAAGACCTCAAGGAGCAGAGAATCCTCCAGCAAGTGACCCGTGCCCCATGCTACAGAGGAAGGCGAAAAACCTCCAGGGCCTTCCAATCTGCCCTGGAGGAAAATTCCTTCCCGACCCCAAATATGGCGATCAGCTAAACCCTGAGCATATGGGCAAGATTCATCAGCCAGATACTACAGATAACACAGTACCCCCACAAATCATTCCACAGTGATGAATGACTGGCCAGATTTGAACATGGATTCCTTGCACAGAGGCACTTTACACTCTCTGTGGACCACACTGCTAGTTCTATTGAATAATGATACTGGACCTGGTCATCCTTACATGAGGACAACTATATTATCCTAGAGGATTTGGGGTATTGGTTGTCCATAAAAATGGGTCATCTTCCCATGTGACCAATTAACAATATTATCCAAGTTCTAGCCCGTTATCTGCAGTTAGGGAGAGATTCATCTCTAAACACAGGAAAAATAAAATCAATGCTTTGAAGTGAAATGCTTGCCCGTCAATTGATGAATGCAATATCTGTTCTGTCCTTGAGTGTTGTTATGCAAAGGGCCTTATTTTTGAAATGTACAGAACATTTAGTCTGTCTCATTTGTTTTACAGTGAATGCTCAATGTTTAAAGACAACCTCAAAATTGTACATCGTTTAGAGACCCATTACCATTCATTTCCTTTGACATTACACACTTTATGACAAAACTGCAAGCTTGACCCTTGACAGAGAACAAATTCACATATGTTTCTGAGACAACAACCATTGCGGTGAATCATGCGTTAATCATTATTAAAAATCTGACAAAAAATACACCATTTCTTTTCGTCAATGAAGATAGTTGTTTACTTACCGTGAATTACTGCGTGTTATGGGTGTGATGGAAAGGGCATTTTCACTACCTTTGTGAAATGCCCTTTCCATCACACCCATAACACGCAGTAATTCGCCCTACGCAAAACAATTAAAGTTTAATACCATGGTGCTGGGAAACACTTTTGATGCTAGGACGTGATAAAGATCATCGAGGTTGCTCATGTAGTTTGTTTCTAAATAGTGAATTTCTGACCTCAATTGTCCAAACCATAGCAATTTTCTTAAGCGTGTGTTATTGCAAAATAATGCTTTAGGGACCTACAGACATGACAGGCATAGCAATACCACACCAACAAAATAATACAGATAGATCACAGAGCAGTGTCACAGATTTCAAAATCTCTCTTTATAGGGCCTATGCAGCATAGTCATCAAGCTTCTCAACCATGCTCTTTCAGATGTTACCAAAATAAAATACAGGCAGTGTCTGATCAAAAACAGTCAAATAAAAAAAGAGTCCCATTCAATTATAATGTGTAATGGCAGACAGCTAAAAGGAGAAAAGTTTTTAACGTGCTTATATACCAATGCTAGAAGTCTAAATAAGACAATGGGTGAACTAGAGTGCCTCATATTAAATGAGGATATTGATATAATAGGCATCACAGAAACTTGGTGGAATGAGGATAAACAATGGGATACAGTAATACTGGGGTACAAAATATACCGGAACAACAGAACAGGTCGTGCTGGTGGGGGAATGGCATTATATGTGAAAGAAAGCGTAGAATCAAATGAAGTAAAAATCATAAATGAATCAAACTGTACCATTGAATGTCTATGGATAGAAATTCCATGCTCTAATAATAAGAATATAGGGTTATATTACTGACCACCTGACCAGGATGGTGATAGTGACTGTGAAATGCTCAGGGAGACTGTGAAATGCTCAATAATAATAATGGGGGATTTCAGTTATCCCCATATTGACTGTGTACATGTCACCTCAGAACGGGATGCAGAGGTAAAGTTTCTTGACACCTTAAATGACTGCTGCTTGGAGCAGCTGGTCCTGGAACCCACCAGAGGAGAGACAATTCTTGATTTAGCCCCAAGTGGAGCACAGGATCTGGTCCAAGAGGTAACTACAACAGGACCGCTTGGAAATGGTGACCATAATATAATTAAATTTAATATCCCTGTGACAGGAAAAACACCACAGTGGCCCAACGCTGTAGCGTTTAATTTCAGAAAAGGGACCTACACAAAAATGAGTTTCGTTAAACAGAAATTAAAGGGTACAGTGCCAAAAGTGAAATCTCTGCAAGCTGCGTGGAAACTTTTCAAAGACACCATAATAGAGGCTCAACTTAAATGTATACCCCAAATTAAAAAACATAGTAAGAGAACCAAAAAAGAGCCAAAGTAAAAGAAGCAGTGAGAGGCAAAAAGGCATCCTTTAAAAAGTGGAAGTTAAATCCTAGTGAGGAAAATAGAAAGGAGAATAAACACTGGCAAATGAAATGTAAAAATACAATGAGGAAGGCCAAAAAAGAATTTGAGGAACAGTTAGCCAAAGACTCAAAAAGTAATAGCAATTTTTTTTTAAGTACATCAGAAGCAGGAAGCCTGCTAAACAACCAGTGGGGCCGCTGGACGATCGAAGTGCTAAAGGAGCACTCAAGGACGATAAGGCCATTGCGGAGAAACTAAATGAATTCTTTGCATCGGTCTTCATGGCTGTGGATGTGAGGGAGATTCCCAAATCTGAGCCATTCTTTTTAGGTGACAGATCTGAGGAACTGTCCCAGATTGAGGTGTCATTAGAGGAGGTTTTGGAAAAAATTGATAAATTAAACAGCAATAAGTCACCAGGACCAGATGGGTTTCAGAGTAACAGCCGTGTTAGTCTGTATTCGCAGATATATTCACCCAAGAGTTCTGAAGGAACTCAAATGTGAAATTGCAGAACTACTAACTGTAGTCTGTAACCTATCATTTAAATCAGCTTCTGTACCAGATGACTGGAGGATAGCTAATATGACGGCAATTTTTAAAAAGGGCTCCAGAGGTGATCCCGGCAATTACAGGTCTGTAAGCCTGACTTCAGTACCAGGCAAATTGGTTGAAACTGTAATAGAGAACAATATTGTTAGACATATAGATGATCATAATTCATCGGAATGCACCCGATGAAGTGAGCTGTAGCTCACGAAAGCTTATGCTCAAATAAATTTGTTAGTCTCTAAGGTGCCACAAGTACTCCTTTTCTTTTTTTATAATTTCTTGAGGAAGAGTCAACATGGTTTTTGTAAAGAGAAATCATGCCTCACCAATCTACTAAAATTCTTTGAGGGGGTCAACAAGCAAGTGGACCAAGGGGATCCAGTGGATATAGTGTACTTAGATTTTTCAGAAAGCCTTTGACAAGGTCCCTCACTAAAGGCTCTTACACAAAGTAAGCTGCCACGGGATAAGAGGGATGGTGCTCTCATGGACTGGTAACTGGTTAAATGATAGGAAACAAAGAGTAGGTATGAATGGTCAGTTTTCAGAATGGAGCGAGGTAAATAGTGGTGTCCCCCAGGGATCTGTTCTGGGACCAGTCTTATTCAACATATTCATAAATGATCTGGAAAAAGGGGTAAATAGTGAGGTAGCAAAATTTGCAGATGATACAAAATTACTAAAGATAGTTAAGACCCAGGCAAACTGGTTGACTGGGCAATGAAATGGCAGAAGAAATTTAATGTTGATAAATGCAAAGTGATGCGACATTGCAAAGCATAATCCCAACTATACATATAAACTGATGGGGTCTAAATTAGCTGTTACCACTCAAGAAAGATCTTGGAGTCATTGTGGATAGTTCTCTGAAAACGTCCACTCAATGTGCAGCGGCAGTCAAAAAAGCAAACAGAATGCTGGGAATAATTAAGAAAGGGATAGATAATAGGACAGAAAATATCATGTTGTCTCTATATAAATCCATGGTACCCTCACATCTTAATACTGTGTGCAGATGTGGTCACCCCATCTCAAAAAAGATATGTTGGAATTGGAAAAGGTTCAGAAAAGGGCAACAAAAATTATTAGGGGTATGGGATGGCTTCTATATGAGGAGAGATTAATAAGACTGGGACTTTTCAGCTTGAAAAAGAGACGGCTAAGAAGAGATATGATTGAGGTCTATAAAATCATGACTGGTGTAAAGAAAGTAGATAAGAAAGTGTTATTTACTACTTCTTATAACACAAGAACTTGGGGTCACCAAATGAAATTAATAGGCAGCCGGTTTAAAACAAATAAAAGGAAGTATTTCTTCACACAGCGCACAGTCAACCTGTGGAACTCCTTGCCAGAGGATGTTGTGAAGGCCAAGACCATAACAGGGTTCAAAAAAGAACTAGATAAATTCATGGAGGGATAGGTCCATCAATAGCTATTAGCCAGGATGGGCAGGAATGGTGTCCCTAGCCCAGTGGTTCTCAAACTAGGGCTGCCGCTTGTTCAGAGAAAGCCCCTGGTGGGCCGGGACGGTTTGTTTACCTGCTGTGTCTGCAAGTTCGACCAATCGCGGTTCCCACTGGCTGTGATTCGCTGCTCCAGGCCAATGGGGCTGCAGGAAACAGTGTGGGCCAAGGGATGTGCTGGCTGCCCTTCCTGCAGCCCCCATTGGCCTGAAGCAGCGAACCGCGGCCTGTGGGAGCCGCGATTGGCTGAACCTGCGGACACGGCAGGTAAACAAATCAGTCCGGCCCGCCGGGGCTTTCCCTGAACAAGCGGCAGCCCTAGTCTGAGAACCACTACCCTAGCCTCTGTTTGCCAGAAGCTGGGAATGAGCGACAGGGGATGGATCACTTGATTACCTGTTCTGTTCATTCCCTCTGGGGAACCTGGCACTGGCCACTGTCGGAAGACAGGATACTGGTCTAGATGGACCTTTGGTCTGACCCAGTAAGGCCATTCTTACATTATGTTCGAAAAAAATTGATAGAATAATTATAGCTATTTTGCAGTTTGTTTTGAGCATGTGGAAATAATTCATTTTCCACCATATTCCCTGTTGTTTTAAATTTAAATTGCCTTTTAACACCATGCATCTACAGGGTCAGATTTTCAAAACTAGCCACATACAACTGCACATATACACATGTGCACCATCTAGTTGATTGCATAAAGATATCTTGTGTGCAGAAGCAAATTTGGTGCCTATTTTACCATGTGCATGTGCAAATACCTGATTTACTGGTGCACAAAAAGTATCCACATGAATAAATTCAGTATGTGAAATGGATCCGTGTGCCTAACTTTGAAAATCTGGCCCATATTTTTAAACACAATTGCCAAATTACATGAAGAAACACTTAGCAAGAGCAAAAATGATGAATAGGCATATGATTAAATAAATGAGAACTAAATAACTGAAAAAGTTAAATCGCTCTGTAGCTTGAGATTTTCAGTAACAGAAATGACCATATCTCTATTTAAATGGTCATAATTAGCACAGTTGTGAAATTGGCTGCTGTAGACTGAGCTTTTCTACAATCAAAAACAACATACACAGTTAAATGTGTGAAACATGCAATAAAACTTCCATTCATTTTTGCAGAAAATACTCATTAGTAGTGTTGATCTAAGCTAGTGCTCTATAAATATGCCGCACTACTGGATATGCTTCCATTGTTAAGCAATAGTGCTACCTAAATATACCCTTTAATAATTCGCAAAAAGAAAAGGAGTACTTGTGGCACCTTAGAGACTAACCAATTTATTTGAGCATGAGCTCAATAATTGTTTGCTCAGAATCCAAGTGGAAATCCTAAAGCACTTAAAATGTTACCAGAAACAGCTGATTAACTCACATGCTTGACAAATATTAAAGCCTCATGAAAATTGCCCTTGCCCTATAGAGTCAATGGATATTGTATATAAATAGGCTGGATTCAGCAGAATCCTCAGATTTGGCTTTGCTGGCCCTCTTTCTTCCCCACTGAATTCTGATCCAACAGGTGTTAGTTCTGCAAAATGAAGGGTGCAATCCTGGGTTTGGTTTTAATCTCTCTCCTGATAGCAGTCTCTGACGTAAAAGGTGAAGGGAATTATATGAAGCTTTGTGGGAGAGACTTCATAAGAGCTGTTGTCTTCACATGTGGGGGATCCCGATGGAGAAGGCATCTGACTGATGATCCAAAAGATCTATTTGGTAAGTGCTGGGTTATGTGCAGTTGGCTCACTTCTTCCCTTATATGCATTCACAAATCTAACTGAATTCACAGGGGGTGGTGTCACCTGGATGCCTATAAGGGCACAATTGGATGCTTAGTTTCTTTTATCTCCATGAAATGTATTTCTTGAGTCGGTATTGTGGGAGCTTTCTTTCAGACAAGGAAGTGAAATTGTACAACTTTGCACTATGTTTCTCTGAAACTTACCTAGCTTAGGTTTGTTTTTTTTAAATAAAAAAGGATCTAGCTTGAGATTTTCAAGCCAACTATGTGCTAAACACTTAGTTTTGAAATTCTCAACCCTAGTTTTTATGTCAAGGGGGGAAAATCCTGCCACCTTTGAAGTGAATAGAAGTTTTGCCATTGTCTTCAAGAGGCATGGCTTTCTCCCAAGATGTTTTACAGTACAAACTAATTTGCAAATTACTGCGAAGTTTCAGAAAATTCAGCAATATACATTAAAGTCATACCCATGTAATATGCATTGCTAGTGATTTGGACTCAAAATTTGGGACCTTAATTATAAAGGATTAAATAAGTGAGTTTAGTTTTAGGAAACCATTCTTTCTATGTATTTAATGTTTTCCAGTCAAACATCTATTTTCATTGAAACTCTTACACTAGTGAAAGCTTGAAGCTCATGGCTGCATGCAGAGAAAAAAGTTTGGCTAGACATACTTCTGCAAAATATTTTAGAGAACCGGCCAAATGGGGAAATCACTTAACTCTGTATTAGGCAAGGAGTGGATGTTGCTGTACTTTATGATCCTTATTCTCTTTTTTCAAGAGCGCACCACATTGTATTGAGAGCTTCAAAATATTCCTTAAAATGCACCTGAATTACAAACAGCTGAGAAACAATTTGCAATACTAGGGTATAATTTTTTGAAAATCTTGGAACTATTCATATCTGATACACAAAGCAATGGCACTTGAACTGCAGGAAGGAATGTACCTTACCACAGTGATTCTCAGACTAGGGCTGCCACTTGTTCAGGGAAAGCCCCTGGCGGGCCAGGCCAGTTTGTTTACCTGCTGCATCCACAGGTTCGGCCAATCACAGATACTGGCCACGGTTCGCCGCTCCAGGCCAATGGGGGCTTCAGGAAGGACGGCCAGCATGTTCCTTGGCCCGTGCCGCTCCCCGCTGTCCCCATTGGCCTGGAGCAGAGAACCGCGGCCAGTGGGAGCCGCAATCAGCCAAACCTGCGGAAAGCAGCAGGTAAACAAACCAGCCCGGCCCGCCACGGGCTTTCCCTGAATAAGCAGCGGCCCTAGTCTGAGAACCACTGCCCTATCATAGTACAGGATGTTGATTTTAAATGTAATTGTCAGAATGAAGCGGCACTGTTAGTACTTCAAAACAAATGTACAGTTAGTTTCAGCCATCAAAACAACTGCACCAACAGATAACAGATTTGTTGTCCTCACTTAAACAGTTGCACAGACAAGCTGTAAAAGAATTACAGATTCTTTAATGGAATATTAATAGGTTCTTTAATTCTCAGACATCTGTTTCAGTACAATTCTGGTGAAATAAATGTTAATGATCAGGTAAATCCTAATCATTCAGACCACAATAGACATGCACAATGAACCAGAATGAGGTGAGAATACCTTTGACCTTTTGGTGTCTTTGGTGAAGGCTAATTTATCTTTTCTGTTAGAGCTGAAAGTCTACACTAAGGATTCTATGCCCTCTAATTTTAGTTTGTTTCTAATTTTTATCAGAAGACAGAGAGAGGCACCTGCATTTGCCACGTGGAAACAGTGATTCAACAGAACCCTTGGAATATGGCATTCAGAATCCAGAACCCATGAGGGAAGAAACCCTTAACATCAAACCCCAGCCTGAGAGAGACTTAAGAGGCACCAGGCAAAAGTCTATACAAAAAAGGCGGGAAGTGGTTTCGCTACTTTCTACATCCTGCTGCAGCATCGGCTGCAGCGAAAGAGATATAAGTTCACTGTGTTAAAATGTATCAGATGCTGGACGGATTATATCCAATACCTTTAATACATTAAAATAATCACAACATGTAGCTGTCTGAAACTAGACTATTACAATTGTGTTTCTTGAATATTAGCTTTATTTTCTGTATCACACCGAGAATTAAAGGTTAAATTTTAAAAAGTATAATGCAAAGCAGCTTTGAAATGCCTTTTTGTGATAATTGCTCAGCTCTTTGTACAAGGCATTTAACATATTTTAAATAGTTAAATTTCAAACCACATGGGCTAATATTTTCCCCTGTCCAATTATTGTACTAGTTTCAGTTTTTGTGGCTAAATTTTAATAAAGTGTGCAATGTACCATGTATGTTTCTCATTGTGCTTTCTCACTTATGAACACCCCCAGCAGGATTACAAAGGTGGGGGTATACATAGCTAATAGCATCACTCGGAGATCAAAATCGTAGCCCTGGTCTACACTAGGAGTTGATGTCGAATTTAGCAGCGTTAAATCAATTTAACCCTGCGCCCGTCCACACGACTAAGTCCATGTTTTCAACTTAAAGGACTCTTAAAATCGATTTCCTTACTCCACCCCCGACAAGGGGATTAGCACTGAAATCGGCCTTGCCGGGTCGAATTTGGGGGACTGTGGATGCAATTAGATGGTATTGGCCTCCGGGAGCTATCCCAGAGTGCTTCATTGTGACTGCTCTGGACAACACTCTCAACTCAGATGCACTGGCCAGGTAGACAGGAAAAAGCCCGTAAACTTTTGAATTTCAATTTCCTGTTTGGCCAGCGTGGCAAGCTGCAGATGAGTGCAGAGCTCATCAGCAGAGGTGACCATGATGGAGTCCCAGAATCGCAAAAGAGTTCCGGCATGGACTGAACAGGAGGTACGGGATCTGATCGCTATCAGGAAACCGTGCTATCAGAGGAAACCGTGCTATCAGAACTCCGTTCCAGTTTTCGAAATGCCAAAACCTTTGTCAAAATCTCTCAGGGTATGAAGGACAGAGACCATAACAGGGACCCAAAGCAGTGCCGCGTGAAACTTAGGGAGCTGAGGCAAGCCTACCAGAAAACCAGAGAGGCAAACAGCTGCTCTGGGTCAGAGCCCCAAACATGCCGCTTCTATGATGAGCTGCATGCCATTTTAGGGGGTTCAGCCACCACTACCGTGTTGTTTGACTCCTTCAATGGAGATGCAGGCAACACGGAAGCAGGTTTTGGGGATAAGGAAGATGATGATGATGAAGTTGTAGATAGCTCACAGCAAGCAAGCGGAGAAACCAGTTTTCCCAACAGACAGGAACTGTTTCTCACCCTGGACCTGGAACCGTTCTTTATCTCTCTGTGTTATCCTCAGGAGATTGATATCATTCATGGTCACCTGGTTGAAATAGGGTGCTTTTCTTAAGGGGACATTCAGAGGTGCCGTTCCTGCTGGGCTGCTTGCCTGTGGCTGAACAGAAATGTTCCCTGCTGTTAGCCACGGGGACGGGTGAGGGGCTAGCCACATGGTGGGGGGAGGCAAAATGCGACCTTGAAACGAAAGCACATGTGCTATGTATGTAATGTTAACAGCAAGGTTTACCGTGAAAGAGTGTACCCATTGTTCTATAAAATGTGTCTTTTTAAAATACCACTGTCCCTTTTTTTTCTCCACCAGCTGCATGTGTTTCAAGGATCACAGGATCTTCTCCTTCCCAGAGGCTAGTGAAGATTAGAAGGCAAAAAAAATGCACTTACGATGAAATGTTCTCTGAGCTCACGTTGTTCTCCCACACTGACAAGGCACAGACGAATGCGTGCAGGCAGACAATGTCAGAGTGCAGGAAAGCACAAAATGACCAGGAGGAGAGATAGTGGGCTGAAGAGAGTAAGTGGTGGGCTGAAGAGAGGGCTGAAGCTGAAAGGTGGCGGCAGCGTGACGAGAGGAGGCAGGATTCAATGCTGAGGCTGCTGGAGGATCAAACTAATATGCTCCGGCATATGGTTGAGCTGCAGGAAAGGCAGCTGGAGCACAGACCGCCGCTACAGCCCCTGTGTAACCAACCACCCTCCTCCCCAAGTTCCATAGCCTCCTCACCCAAATGCCCAAGAACGCAGTGGGGGGGCCTCCAGCCACACAGCCAGTCCACCCCAGAGGATTGCCCAAGCAACAGAAGGCTGGCATTCAATAAGTATTAAAGTTTTAAACTTTTAAAGTCCTTGTGGCCTTGTCCTTCCCTCCTCCACCACCCCTCCCTGTGCTTCTCTCCTCCCCCACCCCTCCCAGGCTACCTTGGCAGTTATCCCCATATTTGTGTGATGAATTAATAAAGAATGCATGAATGTGAAGCAACAATGACTTTATTGCCTCTGCAAGCGGTGATCCAAGGGAGGAGGGGAGGATGGTTAGCTTACAGGGAAGTAGAGTGAACCAAGGGGTGGGGGGTATCATCAAGGAGAAACAAACAGAACTTTCACACTGTAACCTGGCCAGTCATGAAACTGGTTTTCAAAGCTTCTCTGATGTGCACCGCGTCCTCCTGTGCTCTTCTAACCGCCCTGGTGTCTGGCTGTGCGTAACCAGCAGCCAGATGATTTGCCTCAACCTCCCACCCCGCCATAAACGTCTCCCCCTTACTCTCACAGATATTGTGGAGCGCACAGCAAGCAGTAATAACAGTGGGAATATTGGTTTCGCTGAGGTCTAACCGAGTCAGTAAACTGCGCCAGCGCACTTTTAAACATCCAAATGCACATTGTGACAAAGTTCCTGCTCTACCTTGGTGGGTCTTGTGCTTATTGGCGGATTTGCTCACCTTGGAGCTTCACGGCAGCCCTCAGCTTGGCCGTATTTCTAAACCCACAGTCCAGGTCGACTCCTCCTGTGTCTGACCAGGAGTTGGGAGGATTTGGGGGAAACCCGGGCCCGCCCTCTACTCCGGGTTCCAGCCCAGCCTGTGGAATACAGCTGTCTAGAGTGCCTCCTGGAACAGCTGTGCGACAGCTACAACTCCCTGGGCTACTTCCCCATGGCCTCCTCCCAACACCTTCTTTATCCTCACCATAGGACCTTCCTCCTGGTGTCTGATAATGCTTGTACACCTCAGTCCTCCAACAGTCCGCGTTCTCACTCTCAGCTCCTCATGCCTCTTGCTCTCAGCTCCTCACACACACACCACAAACTGAAGTGAGCTCCTGTTTAAAACTCAGGTGCCCCGATTAGCTTTCCTTAATTGATTCTAGCAGCTTCTTGATTGGCTGCAGGTGTTCTCATCAGCCTGTCTTAATTGTCTCCAGAAGGTTACTGATTGTTCTGGAATCTTCTCTGTTACCTTACCCAGGGAAAAGGGACCTATTGAGCCTGGGGCTAATATATCTGCCTTCTATTACTCTCCTATAGCCACCTGGCCCGACCCTGTCACAACATTCTACCACCATTCTGAACTTGCTCAGCCTGTAGTTGAACAGCTCCTGACTACTGTCCAGGCTGCCTGGGTACGGCTTCATGAGCCAGGGCATTAAGGGGTAGGCTGGGTACCCAAAGATAACTATAGGCATTTCAACATCCCCAACAGTTATTTTCTGGTCTGGGAATAAAGTCCCTTCCTGCAGCTTTTGAAACAGACCAGAGTTCCTGAAGATGCGAGCGTCATGTACCTTTCCCGGCCATCCCACGTTGATGTTGGTGAAATGTCCCTTGTGATCCACCAGTGCTTGCAGGACTATTGAAAAGTACCCCTTGCAGTTTATGTATTCACCGGGTTGGTGCTCCGGTGCCAAGATAGGGATATGGGTTCCGTCTATGGCCCCACCACAGTTAGGGAATCCCATTGCAGCAAAGCCATCCATTATGACCTGCAAATTTCCCAGGGTCACTACCCTTGATATCAGCAGATCTTTGATTGCCTTGGCTACTTGCATCACAGCAGCCCCCACAGTAGATTTGCCCACTCCAAATTGATTCCCAACTGACCGGTAGCTGTCTGGCGTTGCAAGCTTCCACAGGGCTATCGCCACTCGCTTCTCAACTGTGAGGGCTGCTCTCAACTTGGTATTCATGCGCTTCAGGGCAGGGGAAAGCAAGTCACAAAGTTCCATGAAAGTGCCCTTATGCATGCGAAAGTTTCGCAGCCACTGGGAATCGTCCCAGACCTGCAACACTATGAGGTCCCACCAGTCTGTGCTTGTTTCCCGCCGCCTGAATCTGCCCCATTAGCACCATGATGCCCACATTGCCAGGGCCCGTGCTTTGAGAGAAGTCTGTGTCCATGTCCTCACCACTCTCATCACCGCGCTGATGTCGCCTACTCGCCTGGTTTCGCTTTGCCAGGTTCTGGTGCTGCATATACTGCTGGATAACGCGTGTGGTGTTTAATGTGCTCCTAATTGCCAAAGTGATCCGAGCAGGCTCCATGCTTGCCATGGTATGGCATCTGCACAGAAAAAAGGTGCGGAATGATTGTCTGCCGTTGCTCTGACGGAGGGAGGGGCGACTGATGACATGGCTTACAGGGTTGGCTTACAGGGAATTAAAATCAACAAAGGGGGTGGCTTTACATCAAGGAGAAACAAAAACAACTGTCACACAGAATGGCTCCCTCAAGGATTGAACTCAAAACCCTGGGTTTAGCAGGCCAATGCTCAACCCACTAAGCTATCCCTCCCTCTGGTATTTCACCCAGGACTGAGTCTCCATTAAAGTTTTCAAGGTGCCCCTGACAGACCTCACCAAAACGATTGTCAGCCATTGATTTCACAGAGGGAGGGAAGGAAGGAGGGAGGAGCAAATGAATACAAAACAAATCTGGTCTATTTCTTGTTTTGATCCACTCCATCTATCTTTTACATCTTTGACTGGCAGCAGATGGTACAGTAGGACTGCAAGCCATCCTCATCTCCTGCCTGCTCTCCAAAAGATGGTACAATAGGACTGCTAGCCATCCTCATCTCCTGCCTGCTCTCCAAAAGAGGTACAATAGGACTGCCTGCAGGACTAAAGAGAATGACCTGATTTAGTCCCTGCACC